ACATTCATTGCTATATTTGTGAAATACAATGAAGATATAAGTTATGCATTTTACAGTCTTTGAAGAATAAAAATGATAATAGCCAATTTATCCATTAAAAAGCAGCCTCAGGGAATCAGCAAGATGTGTGTTTTGATGATCTGTACTGCCACCCAGTGGAACTAGAAAGTTAAAAAAAAAATTTAAATGGCATACTTTGAACGAGTTTATTGATGAAATCAGAAAACGACTCAAATGTGAGTAGTGGAGCTGACTGAAAAATGGTGAAGGTTTTGTTGGTTGATTTTGTTTGCAAAAAATTGTCAGAAAGCTCTACTAGATATGTGAGAAAATATGATCTGCTGAGCCAGCATGAGGAAGATAAGAGACATTTGTGTGCCAGATCACAGGTACATTATGAAGTTATCAGCCCCACTTACTCTCTTTTCCATGTCAGATTTGCCCTGCTCAGCCTGTAATGCCTTCCTCATACCAAAGGCAACACTGCTCTCATACAGTGTCTGATAGGCAGCGATGGTCATTCGGATTTCATCTCTGACTCGAAGCAGCAACAGTCCCCGCTCTGCACAGTTAATCGTAACCTCACGGATAAGTTCATCTTTAAATAAAAAGGGCATAACAGTAAAGATAGAGGGAAAATGTTTTACATAAGTATCAAGACAAACATTTTGACATGGGCCAGTGTGCCTGGCAAGGTAATTATGGCCATGACATTTGAGGTGTTCAAGGCAAGGCAGTGTAGACCTGAAGCTTCCTATTGCTAAGGAATTACAAATCAATTATATTAATAAGAATTCTCTCTAAACCAGTGGCTGGTGTCTTCCTCCAGCCTCCGGAGTTGGTCTGTAGCAGCTGGAGGACTAGCATAGTGTCACCAAGATGTTTAATAATTTAAGATGAATTAATTTAGTTACTGGAGTATGATCTAAGTGTGGTTGGATGAATCTTTCCCTCCCATGCAAATATGCAACAAATCCCAGTTTACTCTTCAATGCTCTGTTGCCACAGTAACACCTCCTCAGTGTCAGCTTGTATATAGATTTTTTTTTTAAAAATACTGTTCTGTATACAAGCTGACACTAAGAGGAAGCCCAGTTGCAACAGGAGTGCTTCATCTATACATGGTAGTGAGAGATGCTAGAGTGACAGACTGGGCAGCCTCAAGAGGGCAAGTACAGTATGTTTAATAACAGTGCAAGCTTCCCACATGCACTGTCTCCTGCCAGTGTGCCTCAACCCTGCCCTGTAGGACCCATTTAGGCTGAAAGAGGAAAATTTCTCTTTAGATTTCTCTTTCTCTCTTTCTAGAATGTACGTCCATTCTAACCTTGGGTTCTTTGCTGAGACTTCGCACAGAGCCCTACTTGTGTTAATTCTGATGTCGATCTCTGCACCAGGAACTGAACCGAGATCAACAGGTCATCAAACAGGCATGGGATGGTAATGATTCTCATTCCCTATTGACCAGGGTAGACTGGAACCCGTACCACCTTAGATGAAAGTCTCTATTTCCCATTCCCTATGTCCTGAGCTATTCAGAAACTTCAGGTGTTTTAGTATCATTCAAATAAGCCTTTTGCTATGATTTCTGGGACCTGGATGTATTCACTAACCAAAGCATTGTGAGTAGAGTTCCCTGCGGACAGGACAAATCCCAGTTTCTCGAGCCTGTCTTTGCTGTAGTTTGAGATCCAGCTCTTCCTGCAGATGAACTACATCCATTCGGGTACTGGGAGTGGTGGACACCTGCTGAATCCATAGCTGATTGTCTTCCACCCATTCTCTGCATCACAAAAGCAGCACAGCTTAGTTTGTTAGCCATATTCATGGCTTTCATAATAGCTTCACTGCCAATAACAAGCATTGACTGCTATCAGCAACAACCTAGGAGCTGCCTCTGGATATGGTTTGATCAAGCATATGCTTGAGCACTGATTTCCACCACAGACTGAAAGAATCCCATTTTTTGTTCACAGAAGTGTGCAATGCAAGCATTCTCTCCACCCTCCATAGTCATTACAACTGAGAGACAATGTCAGCACAGCTTCCGATCACTGCCCTGATCCTTAAACAAATGCTGCCTTCACATCTTTCATTATCCCTGCTGAACTGGCATTTCAACAGCAGAGGGAGCGCCGGCGTTTTACACATGCATGTACACTTCTCTAGTTACAAACTATAGAAATGATCCCTGAAAGTAGTCTAGCAAGGCAGGAACTTTTAGCTACACAACACTTGGATGACAGCAAACATGGCTAACTGCACACTACACAACCATCAAGCAAGACACAAGACTTAAAAACGCTTGGAGACTGCTGATTTGTGTCTGATGCTACGTCAGGAAAAAAATTTGGATTATATTACTTTAAAAACTGATGTATAATTAATCAGGGCCATTTGCTACCTCAGTACGTCATTGAGGAAAGCATCTTTGTCAGATTCAGAAAGAGCCAATATTGTTACAAATTAGACAACATACTTACTTAACTACCACTCATCACCCAGCACAAATAACCAGCTATTAGATGGGCCACATTCATTGACAGGCACAAATATTTCATTTAGCTAGAAATCCATCCACCACTCTCTCCCCAACACCATTTTGTGACATTCACTGAATCCCAACTTCCAGATCCCCTCACTGCCTGCCTCTCCCTTGCCCTCCAGGTCAGAATTATACATTGCTGACTCTTCCTGCGATCCTAGAACCATGGTGAAAGGGAGAAAGAGCAGCTTCTTACCTTGGTGGCAGGATTGCGTTTAAGATTTCTTCTGCTTGTTTTGTTGGATCTACAGATGTAGGAGTTGTCTTGGGTTTTGGAGGAGGTGGCACAGGTCCTGTTGACACAGGCTGCTGAGGACTCACTTTCAAAGAACGCGCCTGCAAATGAGAAACATCCCGGGACTATACAGGCAGGGCACACATTCCAACCATAGCGTGTGCGGAAGCAGACCCCAGAGAGACACTGGGGCAGAGAAGGAGGCCACTGATCCCACAAGGGAAGCCAACCTCCCCCTCATCCTCCACTACCCCCACTCCTTCCTGCCCATTCCCCCATTCACACACCCCTCTCCCACATGTTCAGAGGATCTATGCAAGTCAGGAGAAAAGAGAAAGCCCTTCCCCACAAAGACTGTCAGCACACGTGGGGAAGGAAAAGTAGGGAGAAGCAGGCTCTTTATTGCCCTTTAAGGACTCTACTGACAAACACACACAGGCTCCCTATGTCCCCATCTCATACACCCCCCACCCCACAACAGGGTCACCCCCAGAGTCCCCATCTTAGGCTTCTCACATGCTCCATCCTTTACATACCTCTCCCCTCCCCCCACGAGCACCCGCCCCACGTACTCCCAGCTCCGCCCTGCCCCCCCCAAGAGCCCCCTCCCCGCCTACCCCCAGCTCCGCCCCAGCCCCCCCCCCCCCCCCCCCCCCCCCCCCCCACCCCCCCCCCCTCCCCCCTCCCCCCGCCCCCCCCCGGCCCCCTCCCCTCCCCCACCCCCCCCCCCCCCTCCCCTCCCTCCCCCCTCCCCCCCCCCCCACAACCCCCTCCCCGTTACCCCCCCCCCCCCCCCCCCGCCCCCTCCCTCTACCCCCAGCCCCCCTCCCCCTCCCCCCTCTCCCCCCCCCAAAGCCCCTGCCCCGCGTCCCCCACTCTGCCCGGCCCCCCAAAAACCCCTCCCCGCCTACCCCCACTCCCCCAGCCCCCCCCAAAGCCCCCCCCCCGTACCCCCAGCTCCCCCCCCCCCCACGAGCCCCCCCCCGCGTACCCCCACCCGCCCGGCCCCCCCACGGCCCCCTCCCCGCGTCCCCCACCCCCCGGCCCCCCCCGACCCCCTCCCCGCGTACCCCCGCTCCGCCCGGCCCCCCCACGAGTCCCCTCCCCGCGTACCCCAGCTCCGCCCGGCCCCCCCCACGAGCCCCCTCCCCGCGTACCCCCAGCTCCGCCCGGCCCCCCCACGAGCCCCCTCCCCGCGTACCCCCAGCTCCGCCCGGCCCCCCCAAAAGCCCCCTCCCCGCGTACCCCCAGCTCCGCCCCAGCCCCCCCCACGAGCCCCCTCCCCGCGTACCCCCAGCTCCGCCCGGCCCCCCCAAAGCCCCCTCCCCGCCTACCCCCAGCTCCGCCCCAGCCCCCCCCGAGCCCCCTCCCCGCCTACCCCCAGCTCCGCCCGGCCCCCCCCCACGAACCCCCTTCCTCACAGCTCAGCCCCCCCGCCCCACGGCTCCCCCCCCCCCCCCAATATCCCCCAGTTCGCCCCCCACCCGCCTCCCGGGCCCGTCCCCCGCAGTCCTTCACCTTCGGGGAGCGCTTCTCCGGGTTGCGGCTCACCAGCACCGGGGTCTCGTAGCGGAGCAGCGAGTCCGCCGGGGGGATCATGGCGGCTCAGGGGCCCGCACTCCCCCCGTGAGCGGTGTACCGTCACCATGGCAACAACGGGCCGCGCGCCGCAGCGTCGTTTCGTCATGACGTCCCCCCTCCGCGCTCGCGAGCGGTTAAGCCACGAAGACGCATATGCAAAGAGCAGCCGCCGGCTGGACGCGCATGCGCCGTAGCAGGTGTGTCGGGGTGGGGAGGTAGACGACTGCACCTGCGCCGTGCGCATGCGTAGAGTGTAAAGCGTCTCGGGCGGCCCCTCAGACGTAAGCGAGACCAAGGGACGTCACTCGCTGCCTCCGTAGGCGGGGAACCGCTCCTCGGGCCCACGCGGCCCAGCCGCCCCCCGAGCGGGCCCCCCCGCAGAGAGCCCGGCTGGGGCTGTGCGGGCCCAGGGCTTCCGGGATCCCAATATGGCGGCGCGCTCGCTCCCCCGTGCCCTCGCGCAAGCCCCGCCCCCCCGCTCGCTCCCAGCCCCTGCGCCCCGCCCATCCCAGCCGGCGCGTGCCGCGCAGGGCGGTGCCGCGCGCTGCGGGAGCGCCCTGAGCGGAGCCGCCGGGCCCGCGCGGCCCCGCCCCCTGGCGGCAGTGCTTCCGGCTGGGCGCGCGCGCTGCGCCCCGGAAGCGGAAGCGGGCGCGGGCGGGGACGGAGTCTCTCTTCCCGTTGGCCTGTGACTGGCGGGGCCTCGCGCAGCCGCTGCGTCCCGGCCTGCCGGGGGCTTGCGGCCGCAGCCATGGAGGAGGCCGAGACCGAGCGGCGGCGGCGGAAGCGGCGGCGGCAGGAGCCAGCGGAGGCGGCGGAGAAGCGGAGCCCCCGGCGGCCCCGCTCCGCCCGGGGCAGCCAGTCCCCCCCCGCCGAGCAGGGCCCGGCCCGCCCGGGCCGCAGCAGGTACCGGCCGCCAGACCCCGCTCGTCCTCCCGGGCGGTCCCTGCCGGTCCGCCTTGTGCTCAGGGGACCCCGTGCCCCCGGGAGAGCCCCCCCCCCGTCCCGGCCCCCGCCGGAGATTTCCCATCCCCCACCCCGCTCAAATCTTTCCTCCTCATCCCCCTCTTCCTCCTGTCAGGCCCGTTCATCTCCCCCACCCCCAGTACGCACAGTGGGGGGCCCTCCGACCCTTCACCGTCACCCCATCCTCCCGCGACGCAATACAGTGCAGGGGTAGCTATAGGTCAAGGTTAAATTACCCTGTGCATTTCGCACAAACTTTCCCTTTCCTTTTTTTCTTGGGGACTGTGGACCCAACAAATTATCTTTTTAATATTTAAAGGTCACCAGCAAAAAGAAAGAACAAGTCCTCTACTAAAAGAAGCAAGTCTCCTCGAAGTAAAAGAAGTAGAAGCCCTCATCATATTGTAGTCAAAGTAAAGCAGGTAATTTACTGGATGTTAACTACTAAGGGCCCAGTGCTGAAAATTACTCCACATGATTAATCTCCTTCTTGAAGTCTGTGGGGATCTGTGAAACCACAGTTATCTGTCTCCATGGAGTAACATGTGGGAACTGGGTCTAAATTGGGCGATGTGACTAATGTGTCACTTGATTACCCCAGTATTTTCTTTTATCAGTTGTTGTAATCTGTATATTTAGGAACCTATATTTAACTCTTAAAAATAAACAAATTATAACTACCTCAGATTTTGCTGTAAATGGTTGAGTATCCACAGGAATTAGCTATTAATGATTCAGTAAGAACATCAGGACTGTGTCATGGTACACCTTACCGTGCAAGCTGTTCCATTTGCACAGAGTGCTGTTGATTTCAGTGTTGTCACACCCAGGTACAGGATTCTGATCAGGTGGAGTAGTACGCTTTCTTGGGGCCTTGGTGACAGCAGCAGGATTCATAGACTTTAAGGCCAAAAGGGACCATTATGATCATCTCGTCTGATCTTTTGCATGTTATAGGTTACAGAACCTCACCCATCCACTCCTATACTAGACCCACAATCTCTGGCTGAGTTACTGAAAATGTGGAATGCTGTGCTTAACTTAAATAACTCCTTTCCCTCCTGGATATCTATCCCTTTGATGTATTTATAGAGAGCAATCATGTCTCCCCTCAGCCTTTGTTTTATCAGGCTAAACAAGCCAAGCTCCTTGTGTCTCCTCCCGTAAGGTAGGCTTTTTATTCCTCTGATTATTCTAGTAGCACTTCTCTGCACCTGTTCCAATTTGAATTCATCTTTGTTAAACATGGGAGACCAGAACTGCACACAGTATTCCAGATGAGGTTTCACCAGTGCCTTGTATAATGGGAATAACACTTCCCTGTCTCTGCAGGAAATACCTCACCTGATGCTCCTAGTCATCCTGTGATCAACCAATGCACCTAGGTCTTTCTCCTCTGTCGCATACAACTGATCTGTCCCCAGCTTATAGCAAAAATTCTTGGTAGTCCCTAATTGCACTTTGCATTGTTAAATTTCAACCCATTTCTATTATTCCAGTTTTCAAGGTCATCAAGAGCCTCTTGTATGATATTTCAGTCCTCCTCGGAATTGGCAGTACTGCCCAACTTTGTGTCATTTGCAAATTTTATTAGCACACTCCCACTTTTTGTGCCAAGGTTATTAATAAAAATTTTAAATAAGATAGGTCCCAACACTGATCCCTGAGGAACTCCTTTCTAATATTAATCCCTATCTTCTCCAATGTAACTAATAATTTGCCATGTGGAACTATATCAAATGCATACTGAAATCCAGGTAGATAAAAGCTACTGGATTTCCTTTGTCTAAAAAATCGTTATCTTCTCAAAGAAAAAGATCAGGTTGGTCTAGCACAGTCTGTCTTTTGTAAAACCATGTTGTATTTTATCCCAGTTACTGTTTAGCTCTATTCCCTTAACTACTTTCTCTTTCAAAATTTGTTCCAAGACCTTTCATACAAGTGAGGTCAAAATAACAGGTTTGTAGTTTCCCGGATCACTTTTCCCTTTCTTAAAAATGATACTATATTAGCAATTTTCCAGTCATAGCCAGTGCCCCTTGTTTAGGGATTTATTACAAATCCTTGCTATTGGCCTTGCAGTTTCATGTGCCAGTTTCTTTAATATTATTGGATGCGGACGATACCAAGCTGGGATGGGTTGCAAGTCCTCTGAAGGATAGGATTAAAATTCAAAATGATCTGGACAAACTGGAGAAATGGTCTGAAGTAAATTAGGATGAAATTCTATAAGGACAAATGCAAAGTATTCCATTTAGGAAGGAACAATCAGTTGCACACGTACAAAATGGGAAATGACTGCTTAGGAAGGAGTACTCTGGAAAGGGATCTGTGGGTCATAGTGGACCACAAGCTAAATATGAGTCGTCAATGTAACGCTGTTGCAAAAAAAGTGAACATCATTCTGCGTTGTAATTATTAGCAGGAGTGTTGTAAGCAAAACACAAGAAGTAATTCTTCCACTCTACTCTGCTGTGATTAGGCCTCAACTGGAGTATTCCGTCCAGTTCTGGGTGCCACATTTCAGGAAGGACGTGGACAAATTGGAGTCCAGAGAAGAGCAACAAAAATGATTAAAGGTCTAGAAAACATGACCTATGAGGGAAGATTGAAAAAAAGGGATTTGTTTAGTCTGGGAAAGAGAAGACTGAGGGGGGACAAGATAACATTTCCAAGTACGTAAAAGGATGTTACAAGGAGGATGAAGAAAACTTTGTTTTTCTTAACCTCTGGGGATAGGATAAGAAGCAATGGGATTAAATTGCAGCAAGGGAGGTTTAGGTTGGATGTTAGGAAAACTTCCTAACTGTCAGGGTGGTTAAGAACCGGAATAAATTGCCTAAGGAGGTTGTGGAATCTTCATCATTGGAGATTAAGAGCAGGTTAGTCTTGCCTTGAGTGCAGGGGACTGGACTTGATGACCTCTCGTTCTGTGATTCTATGTAGCCAGCAGCTTTTTGCCCACAGAAGAGAGCTCTCCTGTCAACATAATGAAACCACCCCTAATGAGCGATGGTGGCTTTGTCAGCAGGAGAAGCTCTACAACTACCACTTACGCTGGCAAAATTTACGTTGCTCAAGGGGGTGTTTTGGGGTTTTTTCGCACCCCTGAGCAACATAAGTTTTGCTGACATAAGTTGTAGTGTAGACGGGGCCTAAATCGTTAACATAAAAATTACTGAGTTGTTATAGTTGGGGATTATTTTTCCAACTTTAATATTGTACAGTGCTCCTCCAGAGTGTTACTCATACATGTGGTCTATTCTAGTCATTCCATTATGCAAGCCTCTTTGCAAGAGATTCTTCTCATGGTTTATCTCACTTACCAACATCCCATATCTTGGTTCTCAGTTTCCCCACATGTGATTCTGTGAGAACCAAGATATGGGATGTTGGTAAGTGAGATAAACCATGAGAAGAATCTCTTGCAAAGAGGGTTGCATAATGGAATGACTAGAAAACTGTGGCTGTTGAGTTCAGGCAAGGAATAAGCAGGCAAAGCAGAAGAATTCTGAGGGAAGAAAGATTTAGGGTTTATGCAAGTGTCAATAGTACTGAAACATGCAGAAAACTGAATAGACAAAATATTAGGAAAATTTATTCTTAACATTGCTCTGTGAAATGTCAGTAGAAGAGCAGTGGTTTGGAAACTTGGTTTAGGTGTTTTTTTCCCCATGTGTGGAAGTGACCAAACTGTTAGACCATAGAAAATATATCAAATATTTTAATTTAATTTTTTTTTTAGATTGTAAACCTTACAGGCCAAGGATTATCTTTTCTGTTTGTACAGGACCCAGCATAATCCTCAGTGAGGCTTTTGGGGTACTACCATAATATAAATGTTTATAATAATATACAATTTAAGCTAAGAAGCCAAATACTAGTAAACTGTATGTAACTCAAGAACCTCTACTTTTTAGAATAAAGTAACTGAAAAACTATTCTGCTTATATTTATCTTACAAAACATGAGTTCATGGTTACATATTCCCTGAACAGTCAGTCATCTCATCAACCCCCTAATTCAATGCAGGGATTGTAGGTCTGTATTCTCTTCTGGAGCTAATGTTATCTGCTCTAACTCAGAGACCTAAACATGGGTCTTAGCAGGTGAATGAGGAAGTAATTTTCATCCACTTTTTAAAAACCTGTATACTTGATGATTGAGTTTTGTTCTATAGTTCCGTATTAAATTGAAATTTTAAAGACCAAACAAAATTCCCTGTGTTTTTTCATCCTTAATTCTAAATAGATCACTGTAAGGTTTTCTTTGTTACAGGAGCGAGATGACCATTCCCGGAGAGGACATGAGGAACGACAGCACAGAGGTCAGTCAGAGCAAGAACACAGACGAGATAGAAATGGTGACAGAGACAGACACAGAGATCATTCAAAGAGAAGGAAAAATCCCAATGAAAGGCCAGGAGGTCGAGGGTATGAAAGAGAGAGGGATACCCAAAATCTCCGTGAGCAGCAAGATGAGAGGGAATTTTATAATGAGAGAAGACGTGAGCATCGCCAGAAGAATGAAGCAAGCAGTGGTGATGAGACTCTGGACCTTGGGAAACCTGATGGTGAAAATAAAGACAAAGATCCAACCAATAAAGAGAAACCAAGTTTTGAACTGTCTGGTGCACTCCTAGAGGATTCAAACACCTTCCGAGGTGTTGTGATTAAATATAGTGAGCCCCCGGAAGCTCGGATTCCAAAGAAACGATGGCGTCTCTACCCTTTTAAGAATGATGAGGTTCTCCCAGTCATGTACATTCACAGACAGAGTGCTTACCTGCTGGGCAGGCACCGAAGAATCGCAGATATTCCTATTGACCACCCCTCTTGCTCCAAACAGCATGCTGTGTTTCAGTATCGGTAAGTGTTACTCACTGTGTCCGCCTAGAAAACCGGATTGTAGTGGAGGCTAGAAGTGAATGGCATGTAGGGTACTCAAAATCCTCTGCAAACTAGTAAATTTATAAATTTATTTTCTATTTCAGAATTAGCCAGATTTTACATACAACAGCTGCGTATCCTTTTAGCGGTAATCAAAATTACCTTTGATTCCTCACATCTAACCATAGGCAGCCTTTAAGTAAGGCAAAGAGTACAGCAGTAGTCAAAATAGAATTAGACATACATTGGAACCGGAGTAACACTTGTAGTCTTGCTTAATAGGTGAAAAGGAGCATTTCCAGATTGGCCCAACACAATATGGGGTGCTGGCTTTCCTTTGAAGCAGCAGGGATTGCCCACCGCTGGAGGCAGAGTTGCTGTTTGTTGATGGAATTAATTATTCTAGTTTAACAATTTGTATATTACTAATCTTGATCTTTTTAATGTTTAAAACATGGCACAGGCTTTCGTTTAACTTCAGCTCATTCTATATGGAGAGAATTTTTTTTAGGCAGGCTGAGTGCCTCATATCTTTTCAGAGACTTAACTTTCTGTATTTAATGAGATTTTTGGAAATTGAGGTATTAGCGATCTTGAAGTTATTCTGAAAGATCCATCTCCATTTTTATTAACAGCATAAAGTTGCTGGTTATACTATCATTATGGTTTAAAGGTTTTCTGTTTTCGCCAGGCTTGTGGAATACACCCGTGCCGATGGTACAGTTGGGCGCAGAGTCAAGCCTTACATCATTGACCTTGGCTCTGGCAATGGTACTTTCCTAAATAACCAACGGATTGAACCTCAGCGTTACTATGAATTGAAAGAAAAGGATGTGCTGAAGTTTGGGTTCAGCAGCAGGGAATATGTCCTTCTCCACGAATCTTCAGATACATCTGAGGTGGACAGGAAACCGGAGGAGGAGGAGGAGGAAGAAGAGGAGGAGGAAGAGTCAGACAGTTAACAGATCAGAAAGAGACTTCAGAGATCTTCTTCCAGTAGAACTTGAATCTGGATGTGAACGTTGGAGCATCACAGCACTGATGCCTCTTATTGCCTTAAAGTCTTTCCTCTGTTGCTGATCAGCTGTCACTGTAGTTAATTTTGGGAAACTCCTGACTTACTCATCTCCTTTGTAGTTTTGAAATTCATCAGGAAATACAGCTTTTGCTTTAAGAGGATTTTCCCTAATAAAAAGAAAATAAAATAGAAGGCACCTGAAAGTGAGAGTTCCAGGGATGGAGCTCTTCATCACATGTAAAAATAAATATGTAAGGTTGTACTTAAAGAATATGGAACAAAATAGGCATTTTTAAAAAGAACATGGTTTTGCAAACTCTTTTGTCGACAATCCTTTGAAATTGCTCCTTTATTCTTAACTAGAATCTTAGGTACAGTGAACATGATCTGATGTTTTGTAGTGTCCAATTATTTGATGTGATTTGCTGAATTGTACGCACAGCAAACCACTCACTAAGCAGAGGAATTGATCAGGTTTGTGTCACTGAAAAGGAAATGTTGCAAATCTTCTCTTAGTATTCATATGATTTGGGTAGCCAGTTTGCATTGAAATGATTTTTCAGGGAAGGACATTTCACCAGAATACCTTGTAATTTATAAGCAGTGTAGCTTGAAAAGAAAGAAAATGCTTCATGGGACCTGAAGCTATGATAGCGTGGCTTGCTGTCGAAGGCTGTATGCACTCAGTATGTTGCAAATGTTTGCTGACGTTGCCTCTGGATGCTGATTTTGTCCATATTTGAAGCCACTTTACTTTGACACCACTCTGACCCATGAATCATTTCACATAATTTCTGCATTTAATTATGTTACCATCAAAAAGAAAAATATCCAATGTTTTAACCATAATTTGCACTATTTTTTTTTTAAATTTTACGTTATGGAAAATATCGTACTGTCATGTCTGAAATAGTTTTTCACCTGCATGTAACAGAAAACAGTCAATATTTTATAATTGTGAAGTTTCAGAGAAACGTTTTGAAAACATGGAACTATTTAGATTTGCATATATTCAGACATCTGCTTCCTGAGTTTTACCTTGTGATATAAGAAATGTAACTTATTTCACTTTGATTACTAATTTTCCCTCGTATTTGTGATGTATGGGCACATACTGTCTTCATGTGTTATGTATATACTTCTTGTGTGTATATACATAAGTTGTATATTATACACACAACTAAATTTTATTGTGTAAATATGGGGTGTACATGCGGGTTTTCAAACAGTAGGTATAAGAAGAATGTGCTTTGGATAGCAGACTGTCCTTTATATGTACTCTGGGGTTTTTAAATAAAGAATTTGTAAATTTAGCCCTAGCTGCCTTTAGTTGTAACGTTTTTCTAGTGTCCAGCTTGGTTTTGCTTTATATTTTCTGAAATAGATACTATATATATTTTTAATAAAAACGCACAAATACAAAAAGAGAGGGTGGGGGAAATTCTAATATTGAGGGTAGGCATTGTTTAGAATGCTGTAATACATTCAAGGAAAGGCTAGATGGGTGAAACATAGATAATTCTAGAATTGTATTACGTTTGGTAATTCATTACTTTTATTTTTTGTTAATACTATAGTACTACTTTATTTCGTCATAAAAAGCAGGAGTACCAGTCGTAGGATGAAATCTCTCATCTTTACAAATGGCATTAATGTGGTTTCATGGCTCAGTGGCAGATCTGCGTGCGTACACTTGAAGATTATTTTGTGTGTCTGCTTTAAAGTCGGAGTGATCACATGTAATTCAAACCAGTGCTGATTATACTTCTCGCAGAGCTGAGCAGTCTCTCACTTCTACCGGCAGCACCCATGCCATCCTAGTTTTTGGTGTCTGTGTGCTGTTGCGTGTTTCTTTTGTAATCTGCTTGTACACCCATCAGGTACTGAGGTCAACAAAGACTCCAGCTAGGTGATTTTATGTTCTACTCTGGCAGATCCTATCTGTACACTCTTAAAAATGCAGTGAGTTTGTTCTGAAAGTGAGAGGGGGTGCATATGGCTCAAACCAGAGCTGTGTGCACATCTGCTATTGCTGGGCAATGCCTGAAATGCTTGCGTGGCTGCATGGCATCTAACCAAGTTTAGTGTCTGCGATTTCCTGTTGTGTTGTGTCTTCTGGAATGTGGACATATATTCATTAAGGGGTGCCTAGATCACCAAACAGATTATATGACTTGACAGATTCAACCAATACTATGAAAGTGGGCTAGTTTGCCCTAAATCTTTACTTTTTTCAGAAAGCGTCACCAGCACATTTGGATTATTTTTAAAATTAAAATGTTGGCTGCAACTAGCTCAACAGGTTTAACCTAGTTAGACAAAACAACATATAAAGCCTAATAAAGTGCGGTACTGATTTCTTTTTAATAAATATGACACTGGCCCATTAGAATGGATCTTCCTTCCACAAAGAGAAGAGACAGAGCTCAAATACTCATAGCTGTGATGTAAAGGTGAGATGAAAAATATGAGTAGAACACTTTTTCAGATTTGTTCACTATACACTTCTTGATGTTGCTGATTTGTGACCCTTTCAGCTCCATCTAAGGAGTGGCATTGATTTGCTTCAGGCTGAAGCCATGTCCAGTCATGGGTCTGGATGTATGAAATGTCTACTGAAATTCCTAAATAGTGTACAATGTGGTGATTTGTGAATTACCCTTTTCAGACTTGATTCCACTGTGTACAATAGCACAAAACTATTATCTTGATTTTGCTGTACTGCATCAGTTTGGGGGTTTTTTTATGCTAGACCAAACCGGTTTCTTGTGGTGGAATCCAACAACAAGTACACCAACACTCTCTATGGTGGTGTGAAAACCAAAGCAACCCTCTTTCTAAATGCAACATCCAAATTTACGTGCAAGTGATTTCTTGCCCTTTTTTTTATTAGTGTAAAATCTGATGACTCCTTGTATCAGGCCATGAAAACACTAAGAAATGCATGTGTGTAAAGTTAGAACTATTAATATTATGCAACTGATGTGCTTAAGTGTTTGTAGGATTGGGCCCATAAATTGTCCTGCTTGGACAATATGAGAATTTTACTCAGTATTTCTTTCCATCGCTCTGTTCTGCTGTTCCTGGGAAATAGCTTGCCCCAATTGGGCATGGACCAGCTCAGTAACTACCAATGCAATGTGATGTTTTACTGTTGGTGATTGAAGTATTGATTCAAATATGATTAAATTTTCCTTAAATTGTTTAAAAGCTTGCATCTTTTAAAAATATCTTACGGCAGTTCAAGCTAGCTGCCATTTGCTAAGCATCACAGAGGTTTACATTTTGGAACTGAGTTTTACCTATGGAAAAGTGTTTTACTACAGTATGTGGAAATATACCAGTTGTATCTTTTGAATGGTTGTGTCTACACTTTGTTATAAATGGCACAGTATTTAGCATACAGTATGTTCAAAAGTATGTTACATTTGTATCAAGTCAAATGTATAAAATCCATTTTAAATTAAAATTCTAGAATTTCATCCGACCTGCTTTAAATGGCATGGTGAATGTGTTATTTTAACAAAGGTGCTGGGTGCAAGGCTATTACTGTACTTATTAATACTGCAGTAGCGCAGGGGAAGGGAATACATATCAATATTTCTTATAATATAGCCTTTTGTTCATATACCCTTTAATCTAGCCATCGGTAATTTGGCTGATTTCTTAGTGTGTCCTGGGAGAGGTGAGTCTTCAGAAGGATATGGAGCAGGAAGAGAGGAGTTGCTTCCCACCTCAACTGGGGGGAGGGGTTGAGGAGCTGGGATCAGCTGGGCAGGTGTAGAGGTTATAAAGAGAACAAATGAGAAACTAATGCTGTTGGTTACTGGCCCCTTTGGATATCTGACTACGGCCAAGAGAGAAACTTTAATAACCCTAATCCATGCTACATGACTAGAGCTATGAAATACGTCAGTGCCATAGGCCTGTCTACACTGACAGTTGTACTGATGTGACTATGTTGGGGGGGAGGTGGTTTTTTTTGTATTTTAAATTATACAGATATACTGGTACAAATGGTGGATGCAGTTACACCAGTATAGCTTATTCCCTTTCCTATACAGGAATAGCTATGTGGGGATGGGACATGTTTATAGCCCCATAACTGCATCCACACAAGAGCAGTGTAATGCTTTAATTATACCAGTAGAGCTAGAGCAGTACAACTTTCCAGTGCAGACAGGGCCTTGCTGGCCCTCCTGTGTGTCACGTGCTTATTAGTTGGTGTCAGTAAACTTGAATCTTCAGCAAAAATGGAGCAAATGAAGCCCCTTGTTGGAGGCAGCTTTAGTATTTCTAAATCTTCTGGAGCATAAGTGGTATTTGCATAGAAATCAGAGTGGGAGGTCCACATTGCTGTGTGCAGCAGGAGCAGAGCCCTTGACAGGTTACAGTATGTTCAAGGGGACAATGAAGGACATTACAAACTTCCAAACTCCTTCAAAAATCTCAATAAAATTCTGATCTATCCAACAATGTCCCTTGGGATGTACATTTTCTTTACAAGAAACTAACTGCCAGGTAGAAAAAAATGATCATTTTGCTAGAGAAGCAAAACAAAATCGTGTGAGGTTTGCATAGTTAGTAACCAGGGCTAATTAAAGACAAGCTTATTCGGAGAACAACTGATACGATTACAGTGAGGTCACTGTAAGAGATTAACCTAACTCCAGAGAACAGCAAGGGGTGACTAGGCTAATGAAAACTGTTTCCTTTAGGAAAGTATTAAGCAGTGAATCTCCTTCAAAATGCATACGAAGGGCTTGTTGAGGGGTGGATGGGGTGGTGGGTGGAACTTGAGTAGGGGGTGGCAGGTTTTAGCGTTTGTCTGGGTCTAGGTTGGATGAGGGTGCCAGGGGCTGGGTGGGGGAGTTTCTGGATGGGGGTGCCAGGGATGGGCTCTGGTGCAGGCTGGATGAGAGCACCAGAGGCTGGGGAGGGCTTTGCTTACAGGGTGGATGGGACGGGGGGGCACTGGATGGAGGTAAGTGTGGGTAGGGCTCAGGTGGATGGTGCTGGGGGCTCTGAATGCAGGGTGAATAGGGATGCCATAGGGGACTCAGTACAGGGTGGCTGGAGGAAAGCTCTGAGGGGGGGGGGGTGCCAGGGTGCTCTCAGTACAGGATGGATGGGGGTCCTGGGGTGGGGGTCTCTATGCCGGGGGGGTCTCAGTGCGGGGGTTCCCGGGGGGAGGGCTCGGCGTGCAGTGGATGGGGGTCCCTGAGGGATTCGGGGGGGCTTGGTGCAGGGTGGCTGGGGATATTGGGCGGGTGGCTTGGTGCAGGAGGTCCCAGGGGGCTCGCTGCAGGGTGGATGGGGATATGGGGTGTGCGTGTCTTGGTGCGTGGGGGATGGGGGTGCCTGGGAGATTTGGGGGGGTCCTAAAGGGGTCCCAGGGCAGCAGGGTGCTGGGGGGGGGGGCTTGGTGCGGGGTGGATGGGTGTCCCCGGGGGTTCGGGGGGGGGCTCGGTGCGTGGTGGATGGGGGGCTTCCCGGGGGGCTTGGTGCGGGGTGGATGGGAGTCCCCGGGGGGTTCGGGGGGGCTCGGTGCGTGGTGGATGGGGGCAGAGGGGTCCCGGGGGGTCTCGGTGCAGGAGGTCCTGGGAGGCTTGGTGCGGGGTGGATGGGGTTCGGGGGGGGGGCTCGGTGCAGGGTGGATGGGGGCCCCGGGAGGGGGTCTCGGTGCAGGAGGTCCCGGGGGGGGTCTCGGTGCAGGGGGGTCTCGGTGCAGGAGGTCCTGGGGGGAGGCTCGGCACAGGGGGGTCCCGGGGGGGGGTCTCGGTGCAGGAGGTTCGGGGGGGGCTTGGTGCGGGGTGGGTGGGGGGTCCCGGGAGGGTTCGGGAGGGGGTCTTGGTGCAGGAGGTCCCGGGGGGGGGTCTTGGTGCAGGAGGTTCGGGGGGGGGGCTCGGTGCGGGGTGGATGGGGGGGAGGCTCGTCACAGGAGGGTCCCGGGGGGGGTCGGTGCGGGGTGGATGGGGGTCCCGGGAGGGGGTCTCGGTGCGGGAGGTCCCAGGGGGGGCTCGGTGCGGGGTGGATGGGGGTCCCCGAGGGGTTCAGGGGGGCTCGGTGCGGAAGGGCCCGGGGGGGGCTCGGCGCAGGGTGGATGGGGGTCCCCGAGGGGTTCGGGGGGGCCTCAGCGTGGGGTGGATGGGGGTCCCCGAGGGGTTCGGGGGGGGCTCGGTGCAGGGTAGATGGGGGTCCCGGGGGGGCTCAGCGCGGGGGGTCCGAGGGGTCCCGGGAGGGGGTCTCGGTGCGGGGTGGATGGGGGTCCCGGGAGGGGGTCTCGGTGCAGGAGGTCCCGGGGGGGGGCTCGGTGCGGGGTGGATGGGGGGGAGGCTCGGCACAGGAGGGTCCCGGGTGGGGTCGGTGCGGGGTGGATGGGGGTCCCGGGAGGGGGTCTCGGTGCGGAAGGTCCCGGGGGGGGGCTCGGCGCGGGGTGGATGGGGGTCCCCGAGGGGTTCGGGGGGGCTCGGTGCGGCGTGGATGGGGGCCCCGGGGGGGGGGCTCGACGCGGAAGGCCCCGGGGTGGGGCTCGGCGCGGGAGGGTCCGGGGGGTCCTGGGAGGGGGTCTCGGTGCGGGAGGTCCCGGGGGGGGCTCGGTGCGGGGTGGATGGGGGTCCCCGAGGGGTTCGGGGGGGGCTCGGCGCGGGGTGGATGGGGGTCCCGGGAGGGGGTCTCGGTGCGGAAGGTCCCGGGGGGGGGCCCGGCGCGGGGTGGATGGGGGTCCCCGAGGGGGTTCGGGGGGGGCTCGGTGCGGGGTAGATGGGGGGTCCCGGGGGGCTCGGCGCGGGGGGGGTCCGGGGGGTCCTGGGAGGGGGGGTTGGGAGGGGGTCTCGGTGCGGGAGGTCCCGGGGGGGGCTCGGTGCGGGGTGGATGGGGGTCCCCGAGGGGTTCGGGGGGGGCTCGGTGCGGGGTAGATGGGGGTCCCGGGAGGGGGTCTCGGTGCGGGAGGTCCCGGGGGGGCTCGACGCGGAAGGTCCCGGGGGGGGCTCGGCGCGGGGGGGGCCGGGGGGACCCGGGGGGGGGCCCTCCTGGGGCAGCGGGAAGTTGGGGCTCCGCGGCTCGGGGCCCGGCCAGCCGGCGCGGGCGGGTCTCAGCGCTGCCCCCGGCGGCCCAGGCCGGCAGCGCAGCCCGGCTGCGGCCCCCTCCCCCCGGCGCGGCTCCCGCCCCGCCGCAGGCCGCAGCCCATCATGGCGGCGCTGCACACCAAGGCCGGGGGCCCCCCCCAGATCCCCGACACCCGCCGGGAGCTGGCCGAGCTGGTGAAGCGCAAGCAGGAGCTGGCGGTGAGGGGCAGGGGGCGCGGCCGCCCCGCTCCCGCCGCGTCCCGGCCGCCCGCGCTACGAGAGGCCGCGGGCTGGGGAGGCGGCTAGGCCGCGCCCCCCCCGGCCTCCCGCCCGCGCCCCGGGTCGAGCTGGGCCCGCAGCCCCGCCGTGGGGCCAGGGGGGCGTCTGGGGGATGGGGCTGGAGAGCCCAGGGGAGGGGCCGGGGGACCGGCTCTGGGGGGCAGTGGGGAATGGGGGGGACCGGCTCTGGGGGGGAAGTGGAGTTGGGGGTGCAGCGGTTCTGGGGGGGTGGGGATTGGGGGTGCACCGGCTCTGGGGGGCAGTGGGGATTGGGGTGGGGAATGGGGTGCAGCGGTTCGGGGGGGGAAGTGGGGTTGGGGGTGCAGCGGCTCTGGGGGCGGTGGGGATTGGGGTGCACTGGCTCTGGGGGGCAGTGAGGATGGGGGAATCTGAGGGGGATTAGAAAACGGGGGGGATATAGAGGGCACATTGGAGAGTAGCGGTATCTGGGGGGTATCCCGCTTCCATGACAACAGGCACGAATCCCCGGGCATCTCCTGCATCCTTCCCCCTCCCCCTTTTCCATCTGTGCCCATCCCTCCCTGCCTGCTCCCCTGCAGCAGGCATGAACCATGAGATCTGGGGGAGCTGACCCACGTCCAGAGCGCTCACAGCCTCTGCAGACTCCTGGGAGTCCCTTGGCAGTGGCCAGCTCTGGTACCCCTGGGATCATTGACCGGCTCTGGGGATATGCTGGCGTTAGCCTCGTCTTCTTTTGTTCTGTGCTTCTTATACCAGGAGACCCTAGCGAATTTGGAGAGGCAGATCTATGCTTTTGAGGGCAGCTACTTAGAGGACACCCAGATGTACGGCAACATCATCCGTGGCTGGGACCGCTACCTGACAAACCAGAAGTGAGTGGAGAGAGGTGACTTTTCTGGGTGCCTTGGTTCAGGGGATAGTAGTTTCACTCTGGCATGTAACATTTGGGCTTTTTGCTTCGTAATATGTTTCCATCCCAGTCCTGAGGTTCTGGTTTCTAAACAGCTTTGATAAGTGGAACTTTTAAAAAAATAAGAGATTGGGATGGTCCCTGAGGTTAGCTAATACACAGGGCATTGTTTCTCTTAAGATGGCTTGTGTGTGGACCAGTTGAAACTACATCAGCCAGTAAAACTTCTCTGTGCACTTGCATCTTGTCTCCCTCTTCCCAGCACTAAAGGGGGCCTTATGGGTACCGGGGACTCGTGGAGCTCCCCAAGTCTCCATATGTTTTCAGGGGACACAGCATGTAACAGGCACGATTTCTCTTCAGATAACTGTAAGGACATAGGTGTAGGGCATTCTCAGGGATTAGTAACTGGTCCATTAGGGACTTTTGTGCAGTGTCCTTGGGCTGCAGTGTCTTTCTGCCTTGTCCTAACCTGCAGGTTATGCCTTGCGTGGGTAGATAAGGGAACAGAACACCGTCTGACATGGTGACTGAGTATTTGCAATGAGGCCATGCTGTGTATTTCAGAAACTCGAACAGCAAAAACGACCGAAGGAACCGGAAATTTAAAGAAGCTGAACGACTCTTCAGCAAATCTTCCGTCACCTCCGCAGCAGTGAGTACGGCACTTGTGGCCTGGCAGCATGCAACGCCAACTCAAGTCCTGAGCTTCCTGGGCAGAACTGCCTGGCCTTTGCCCATGAACATCGGGGAGGACAAATCTGAGCTGAACAGATCCTATATTGTACACTCTCCCCTCCATCATTTCTCACTCTTCTCCTTTCTTCCAGGTTGTGCTGAATTGTTCTTCATGGAGTTTCCTTCAGTTGTTCACTTTGTACCTAACAAGGGGAAAATAGCCTGTTTATTCTACTTTCTTTGGCCTCATTGAGAGGAAACCCTGGGGTGGCTGATCTCTCCCTGTTCTTAGGACTAGTCCCCTTGGCATAGTTTGTGCCCTTTCAGTGGCTCTGTTGATCTGTCTTCTCCTCTCACAAGCATCTCCCATCTGCCCATAAAATTCACATCTGCTGCAATGCCCAAATGTCTCTGAGAGGAGGGAGTGGGGGACAGACCAATCAAGAAACTTCTGTGTCTCACGATCCTATTTCTGCCCTCATTGGCATTCTCCCTTCTCTTCCTTTTTGGCTTTAATGCCCTCTCCTGTCGTGACATGCTGAGTTTAGACTGCAGGGTCTTTGGAGCAGAGACCAAAGAACCACCTCTTGTGCTGTGAGGGGCCTTGCATGCTTTTGAGAGCTTGAAAAAAATAATAAATGGGAATCTGTCTTTATTAATGTGCCTTCTGATTTTCTAGGCAGTCAGTGCATTGGCCGGAGTTCAGGACCAGCTCATTGAAAAGCGTAAGCTGCTACTTCTTTCCTCTCACCACCTGACTAACTTGGAATGAAGCAAGTTGCTTCCTGAGGAATTAGGTCACGTGTCTGTTCTCTTCACACCATAGGCACCGGCTTCTAATTCTCCTTGGGGGTGCTCAACCCCTGCGCAGCCCCAGGCCCCGTCCCAACTCCACCCCTGCCCCTTCTCCGCCTCTTTCCGCCCCCTCCCCTGAGCACGCCCCATCGCTGGTCCTCCTCCTGCCTCCCAGCACCTCCTGCATGCCACGGAGCTGTTCCTCTGCGTGCAGGAGGCGCTGGGAGGGAGAGGGAGGAGTTGATCAGCGGGGGCCATCTGTTGCAGGAGTTGTGGTGGGGGGAGTTTGGCTGCTGGTGGGTGCTAAGCACCAGCTAATTTTTTCCTGTGGGTGCTCCAGCACCTATGCTTCTCCCCTTACCAGGTGCACGACCAAGGGTAATTATGGTCCTGTTAGAGGGTTCCCCTTCCAGCACTGTTTTAATTGGTCCTTGTGATTCCCTGTTGGTTAGGTATGCTGCTTTTCACACCCCAGCAATTGTGTTGCTCTAAATAAGGTCACAGTTGTACTCATTACAAGTGTATATGTTAAAATGTAGACCTCTCTTTTAGCAATGGCATTATCTTTTGTGTCTGCTTGAACTGCTGACTGCAAGTGAAGTGTGTTTAAGTGGGTTTGGTATTTTTGGGAGGTGAGGCTCTGGGGGTTGAAGCTCTGGCTCTTTTTCTTTCCTGACATTAAATGGTAAGTAATTGTCAGTGGATCTGAGTGCCTGCTGCCCAGAACCCCTGGCATCTGTCACAAGTTTCACACAAGTTTACATCTTCCCTCCTGAGTTAGCAGAATCGCTCACTGTTCGGCTTTGATGTAGAGGTTGAGTGCACCAACTTTTAAGCCACGATAAAAGGGATTGTTGGGGCTGGCTCTCTGCCTTTGGGGCTGAGAGTTTTTGCTCTTTCTTGGGTGCTTAAGGGCATTGTGTGGCATATACTATAGAAATTGGTATGCAGTAAATCCATTTTTACCCGGGTTATTCCTGAATCAGGTGTTGATTGAATTGGATTTGATTCTAGCATGCATCTGTTTCTAAGGGGGTAACTTGCCACACTGAGGAAATGCTGCTTAGTCCCGCTTAGTGACCTTTTTCTGTGCTATCTACTGGAGACGTTAAGCTGCCCTCCATGTGGCTTCCATATGCGGTTTGCTGCTGCACTTGGGATTTGGCTCCAGCGCTTCCTTATTCTGGGTGCGAAGGGATTCACCAGGGTCTGTGGTGGGGCTGAACGGATGGGAAGTAACAGCTGTGCTCTTGTGGGTTTGTTGTGTTCTAGAGGAGCCAGGTAGTGGCACAGAGAGTGATGCTTCTCCAGACTTTCACAATCAGGAGAATGAGCCCAGCCAGGAGGATACTGAAGAGCTGGATGGGACTGTGCAGGGAGTGAAACCGCAGAAAGCCGCATCTTCCACCTCCTCCGGGAGTCACCACAGCAGCCACAAAAAACGGAAGAACAAAAATCGACACAGGTTAGTGGGGCCAGCTGCCCTCACCACGTCCTCTGAACAGCTGGTTGTTGCCCAAATGGCATTATGGCCTGAAAGTAGCCAAATGTATTCAAGCAATGAGCAGTTCAGACCACTGGTTAGTTGGGGTCATTAAGTGCAAATGACAATCTGATTTCTCGCTTCATGTTAACCTGCAAATCACTGAATCAAATTTATTACATTCACTGGGTGACATCAGACAACCTATCTGGCCCCGCTCCCATAATCTCCGGGAGGGATAAGAGTGGGAGACATTTAGAAATAGTTGGGCTAGTGGACTGAGCAGGGTACTGGAAGGCAAGAGCTTCTGATTTCTAATCCCGGCTCTGATAAGATACCTGTATGGCCTTGGGACAGGACCCCTCCCTTTTCTGTGCCATTTCAATTTCTCAATCTGTAAAGCAGAATAATACTGGCCTGCCTCCCAGGGGGAGAGGTTACAATCCAGTCCCCTTGGTGCCTGCATCTTGTTCTCTGGAATTGAGTGAGGTAGGGACGTTGACAGATCTGTCTGGGGAAGAGGATCGGGAAATAAACAAAAACGCTTTGGGAATCCAGTGATTATAAAAGTCCTGGAAATCCTGGATATTTTCACCCAAACTTTGCTCCCGAGCCATTTTTGTTGTCATTTGGCTCCAGACTGAGCCTCTGTTCCATGTGGTGTTCTGGAGCTGCCTTGCTTTTCATGTTCATTTGAACGCAGTTGTAAGGAAGCTGACCTCACAGCCATGTAAGAAGTAGTAAAGATCTCACAACCTTCACTTGGTTGCCCTTGGGTGGCCAATTCCGAAATAGGTGGCTTTAGAGATGGCCTATTAGAGATAATGTCACACCACATGGATAATGCCATTTTCTCTACAAAATGATGTCCTCCGCACAATGTGACCTCGTACGTATTGTGCATTCATAGTCACTCTGTGTGGAGGATGCCATTTTGTCGAGAAAAATGGTGTCCTCCAGGCTGTGTGACTTCGCATGCACCATACATGTGAGGACACACTGCAGAGCAAAATGGCGTCCTCTGCACACTCGGGATCACTGCTGCCCCGTCTGCTGGAGGCGCACCCCCATTTGGGGTCACAACTCACAATTGGGAACTGCTGGGTTATGGGCAGGTGTTTTGCCTGATACATTCAACTCCCTTTTTGAAGTTGACTGGATTTTGCGGTGTCAGTGTCTCTTTAATTCTTAGATCCAGGATTTCCTTCCTGCTATAATATTACAATTTAAAAACGTTTGCTCAGTTATATCTCCTTTTAGTTCCTCATGAGCTAGGAATCATGAAGTAGTCTAGAAAGACCTTTTTGGTTTTTCCTGTAGGTAGCTAGAAACAATTTCAGAAGTAACAATAGTTTAAGAACATAAGAACGGCCATACTAGATCAGACCAATGATCTAGCCCAGTGTGCTGTCTTCTGACAGTGAACTGGTGCCCGATGCTTCAGAAGGAATGAACAGAACAGGGCAATTATCAAGTGATCCATCCCCTGTTGTCCAGTCCCAACTTCTGGCAGTCAGATTTAGGGACACCCAGAGCGTGGGGTTGCATTCCTGATCATCTTGGCTAATAGCAATGGATGGACCTATCCTCCATGAACTTATCTATACTTTTGGCTTCACAGCATTCTCTGGCATTGAGTTCCACAGGTTGATTGAACACTGTGTGAAGAAGTACTTCCTTGTGTTTGTTTCAAACCTGCTGCTTATTAATTGCATTGGGTGACCACTGGTTCTTGTGTTATGTGAAGGGGTAGATAACATTATAGGTTTCTTGCAATATGAGAGGAAAGGGACATCCTGTAAAACTAATAGACAGCACATTTAAAACTGACAGAAGGAACTAGTTTTGAAACAAAGCATACTTAACCTGTGGAACTCCCATCTGTGAGAGATCTTTGAGACCAAGGCTTAGTAGGATTCAAATAGCAGTAAGCCTTTATGTGGGCAATAAGAAAGTTCACAGTTACATTAGATCTGATAAAAACTTTATAAACCTTCATGCTTCAGAGCATAAGCCAACCACTAGCACCAGGAGTTAGAAAGAAACTGCCACTCTGGGCCAGTTATTCTGTTACGGGGTTTCTTGTACCTTCCTCTGAAGCAGCTGATTCTGACTACTGTTGGAAGCAGGACATTGAACAAGATGGAAGCCGGGTCTGATCTGGTATGGCAGTTCCTATGATCCTAGAATGTAAAGCAGAGAGAGAAATCTAAATAATACAAAGTCACTTACAATTAATTGACTGTTGTTCTAAAATGCCTTAGTGTGGCCAGTTACTGAATCTGACAAGTCTAACTGTATTTGATACAGCTCTGTGACGTTAAAACGGACTGTTCTTACTAACTACTTCCTAAAATCCTTCCAGCAAAGGAAAAATTCCAGGCACCATCCAGGAACGTGAAGCTAGTCGCAAGAAATTAATGATGTAACTCTAGGTGCTTTGAAATGAAATATACTGGGAAATGCTCTTTGGAAACAGACACCTCCTTGTTTGCCCATTTCTCTTGAATGTCCTGAGATGAAAGTATTATATAAGAAATCTTGAAAGTCTGTCACTGGGGCTGCCCTCTGACTGCAAATCCTGATTCACGGCTCTCCCAGTCGTTTGCATAAGCTGAGTGCTGACTGAAGCTTTGGTGGCCGCTGGAATGGGCTGTCTTCAGGCATGGCTGACACTGCTTGCAAAGTAGTCCAAGCTTTCCTACTTCATACCTCACCAGCTCTGCTAGCAGTACTGGTGCTGTTCCGGCGTGGCGGGAATATCCAGCTCTCACGTCCGGCATCTGAACACGGTGAACCAGGTGAACGGCGTTGGCCGTTGCTCATGGGGGCCCTTAGTTCCACTCTGCTGTGCAAGTGCCAGGGATACCGTCCCCTACCAAAGCGTCCCGAATTCAGCGACTTGCATCAGCCGAGGGAGAGCTCACCTTCCGCAGGAATGCTGCTTCCTCTTAGACGTTCCGTTGCAACAAGGCTACTGAGTTAGGACTTAATACCATTGAAGTGTCATGTTAACTCCCCTCTTTCTAACCAATACAATTGTTGGATTCCAGGAGGAGCTCTCTGGAAACAGAGCGCCATGGTGGATGTGCGAGCATGTGTGTATGGATGCTAGAGTCTGCTGATGGGAGTGTAACTGTTTGGTACCTAGATTCAAACAATTCACAGTGTTTTCTTTTTAGGTTTATAAGTGAAAAGTAAGTGTGTGTGTGTGTGTGTGTGTGCATACAACCATATTTGAATGCGAAATTGCTAAATATTTCTATGACAGCCTCCATCTAGCTGCCTGAACCAACTTCTCTGCTTCTGCCCTAATAATCTAGAGAGAGCCTCTGCTTTCTGAGTGCCCACTTGGTTGTCTTTGCGTGCATCGAAAGTTCAGTCTCCGTCTGGAAGCTAATGTGCTATTCCAAATAGCTGATGGCTTCCTTTCTCTGCGTATAAAAATACCTTACATAAACCACTCTTCCTCTGTTTAACACCTCATTTCCCAGCAATCCACTTGGGGAGGGGGGCTCTGCACTGCCGAGTCCGGAGTGCTTTTTTGTGCCAAATTCTGGTAAATAAATAAATAACATATTCTATATAAAATAAGAACTTTATGGCATTTGGACATTGGCTTTATTTTTTTCTATAATCTCGCTAGGGTGGCTAATCAACCTATTTATTGAATTCATTAGTATATTAATGGCTATTGCTTTCTTCCTTTCAAATGCTGCCCCTCAGCCCGCCTGGCATGTTTGATTATGACTTTGAGTAAGTTTGACTTGAATTAGTACTTGTGCTGTCTTGTTAGTGTGTAGACACCGATGTGCCTTTCTGAGACCTTTCTAACCCATAGTTTATCTGTTTAATTGTAGGTATGTATATTAGGTTAGGCTGGGAAGTTTTTTTAAAAAACAGAAAAACATGATGGAGGTAACATTTTATTTAATAACTTCAGCAAAATTAAATCAACTTTACTCTTCTGCCTCTTTATTTTGTTTTTAAAACTACAGATAAACTTTATCTTAATAAATAGTTAAAAACTGATTTCTGGCTTTGCTTCCTAAAGAAATTAGTGGCATAAATTTGGATATTTTCCTCTGGAGAAATGTAATAAAGCCAATCCCCTTGATTTTATAATACCTGTTGTCTCAAAATCCTCTTTCTCTGTATAGTCCAAGTAAGTAACTATTACCACTATGTCTGAATAATTACCTGTGGCATAGTTACATCTATCTCTTAACAAATTAACATAGAGCATGCATTTTAATCCCATTTTTGCACGCTGCATAACTTCCCTGTGATTTTATTATGAACCTTTGATAACTGTTTCTCTGATTGAGTGGGTGGAATATGCATTTCGGCAAGGTGTAAAGAGTCCGCTCTCATTGATGTTTTTGGTCCTTGCCCAGTAATGTTGGGACAATGATTTGGCTCGTCCAGTTCGGAGAACGTGGATTGAATTAACCAAATAGCCTTTGTTGTAGCCTGTGCCATATGCTGTAGCTGGTTCTTGGAACTCCCATTGAAGTGTAATGTATTGAAATGGACATTTCTCTTCTCTTTCCCATCACAGGATTGATCTCAAGTTAAACAAAAAGCCACGAGCTGTAAGTATCAGTCCTCCTGTGTCATTATTTTTAGTCTGTAGTCTGAGGTTGCAGGCTAATCCCCAGCACTCTAGAGTCTGCATCTGCCATGGTTTATGCTCTCTCATTTTCATGGTGGGGGAATAGTTAGCGTGAAATGAGCAATTTCCTTGTGGATTTATCATAGCTGGATTTATCTGTTGCTTGTTACCAGATGTTGGTGACAGTTGAGAGCCCCATATATTTTACTCAAGAAAAATTGTTTCACACCCTTTCCAGCTGTGATTGTTAATCTAGTAAATTGAAAACTATTGGTGATTGGTTGACATATCTCTTAGTTGAAGATTTTGAAGTGCAGATGAGGGTGTTCAGCTACATTAAAATTCTCTTCTCTCTGCCTGCGTGCAAAGAATGATGTGTGTGCTTCATGCCGTTGCGTGTGAAAGCTGATGAAAGCTGTGAAAGCTACTCTGGGGGTATTAATGTCCTGCCCTTTCCCCTCTCTGCAGGACTACTAGACTCATCGGTGCCGAAGCTTCCCGGATCTAGGCCCCCACGTTGAGTCCACACTAAGAAAAACATCAGTCGACTGAATGAGCACAATGGGCAGCTCTCCCACCGAGTGTCTGCACATAGGAATAGTTCACTCAAAAGTACTAAAGTGTGTGTGTGTTTGGGGGGGGGTCGGGGGGGGGGGATAGTCTTGTTTGGCTACATTGGACCATGTACTTTGTGTCATTTTAAAATCACCTGAAATGCAGGAGGACTAAGCTGTGGTGTCACCAATCTCTGGTTCCCGAGTGCGACATTCTTCCCCCACAGCTGGCAACACACACCCTGCAATCGGCTGGTTTTGCTGCTGCCATCACCATTGTCTGTAATAACCATTGAGAGGAGATGTTGTTCCATTTTATACCGGAATGGGGGCGTGGCTCTGTGTGTCCCATGCAGGTTGTAAATCTGTTAGGTTATTTTTTTAATACTGATACTTAGTTTGTTTTTTTAAACCAAACTATACAGTTGACAAATTGGCTTTTGATTTTTCCTTCTTGAATCTGATTAGGCTGTTCATTTTTCAGAATGATCCACTTGAATTCTTACCTTAGTAGAGAAGAAAGTGGCTCACCCCTTTCCTTCATCTTTGATCTTAACACTTCCCCTCCGGTTTTTTCGGGGCACTGAGCTACAAGGAGTGGTTGGACCTTGAAGCCATCTTGCTCCTAAAGGTTGGGTGGATTCTCTTTTTAATACAAACATCTGTCATTTGTATATAAAACAATAAAAGTCACGTTTGTCTCTCTTCTCATGTCTTGCTTTGCAGTTGGAGATGTTTCTGTGTTTTGTTTGTTCTAAGCCACTCAAGAATTTCCATCATTCTTCTCCATTTATTCTGTGAGGTTTTCCTGAATTCCTCTACTTTCAGGTACAGCATGTGTTTATGCAGCTCCATGAGCCTCTTAGGAATTGTCTCCTTTACTCCTCCTCCTTGTATACACACACAGTGGTGACTGTCAAGGGAGCCAGGAACTAGCCTCCTTTTGTGCTAATTATTCACAGCTCACAACTAGAGAGATCTTGGGCAGACATGACCACTTGCTGATGTTGCCGGAATACCTCCTGGTAATGGGTGAGCAGCCCTGACTGTTCTCTGAACCAGCTCGCCCATGCACAGGGATGGGTGTCCTAACCAGGGTCAGGAATGTGGTGCTGCCCTTTCCTGGGGGCAGAGCTTTGAGTGCCGCTCACCAGTGTTACCTGGGGCTGAGTGGGGTTTTAGCACCTTTGTTCTCATGCTACAGTCTCTGGAAGGGAGTTGTGCCCACTTGCTTAAACCTCTCCAAATTGCCATGAGGTCTGTGTGCTGTGCCCCTCAATTGCTCCGTATTAGACTCCATGTTACTGAGCCTTGCCTTCTTGGGGACTCCATTTGCTTCCTAGCTTTTGCTTGGGTGGCTGCAGCTCTGCCCTTGCCAGTGGAGTAGCAGAGGCTTGACTTCAATACCATGCAAGGACTGTTAGGTGCCGTTCTACACTAAGACACTCATTTAAGGCCAGGTTGCCTGCGGGGAAAGTCCAAAGCGACAGCAGCAGCGGCTGAGTCCCTTCTTATTGTACGTTCCAGTCTTGGGTTCACCCACAGAGTCACACTTGCTGTAATAGCTGGGCAATTCCTGTAGGCAGCCTCTCTGGGCAGGGGCGGCTGCTGTTTTGGCTAGCGTGGAGTGCTGGCTAGTGCTGAGAGACACTGATTTAAGAGGAAGAGGCACACCTGTTCTGCTTTATTCTTCTCTAATCTGTTCTTCCTTGCATTATAACTTGGCAGTGTCAGAAGATTAAAACTAGGGATGGGTAAACATCCAAGAAACTGGACAAGTCCTGAAAATCGCCCTGTGTTCCCCAGCTGCTTTGGAATAAGAACAGCTCTGGCCTTGAGTTTTTGGCTACTCGGCCTTGGTAGCATGGAAAACCCACAACAGCTTTTCCTGTGCTAATTCCCCTTATCCTGGCCCAACGCAGGGACTGCAGAAAGGCATGAACTTGGTAGAGTATCGTTGGCGAACCTTTTCCGACCTCGGAAAACCTGCTGCCGCTCCCAGCCAGCGTCGGCGGGAAGGGTGCGGTGGACACAGCTTGCATTGGCAGCCGGGCACAGTGTGCTGGAATGGAAGCTGTGCTGGTGGTGCCAGCAGTGGGTACTGCTCTGTGCTCTGGCTGGTGGATACGTGCTATCACTTACAGTTCCCTAGACACCTATGCAGAAGGAGATTTGTACTGTAATGATTATAAAGGGGAGCAAGGTTAATGCAGAGCCATCAGCAAAGAGCTAGGGGTTGGCATTTTGGGGCTGGGGCCTGGGCTTTGAATCTCTGGGGAGGTGATGACTTTCAGCAAACAGCCAACTGTCCCCTTTCCCAAGAGGCCTGTGCTCTCCGCCCGCACCAGCTCCTGAATCTCTTTGTTTCGATGCAAACTGTCTGGTGCCCTACTCAGCTCAGCAACAGGGACAGAGAGATCAGGCTGGGCCAGGAGCCCCGTGAGGCCAGGAGCAGGGTAGGGCATGGGACGGTAGCTTTGTACCTGTGCAGACACTGAACTGCGATTGAGCAGCCTTTGGAAGCAGGTCCCATGCATTGTGGTTTTTGTTCCCTTTAACGATATTGTGCTGAACAGAGATGTGACCACCCATCAGTCCTGGGCCCAACCCAGCCTAGCTGCAGAGATGTTTTGGTTTTAGAGCTGAAGACCTGGTGCCCTTTCTGATATGTAATGTATACACTGTAATTACCTCTGCTGGAGCTGCTCACTCCTCCCCGGGCTTCTGTGCGTTGCTGACGTTTTGACTCACTTCTTTATCCCAGTGTGTTAGGGGAGCAGAAATCCCCAGCCCTAGGCAGGCTGGACAATCTGAGCTGTAGCCGCATCAGTCACTGTAAAGAAAAAAAAAAAAAAAAAAGGCAAAGCTCACTCCTCAACGAGCGATGTTTTTTTCCCCAGCCTCTGACATTTCAGGAGTCACCTCAGTGACTGGAGTATGCAAATTAAATGGCAAATGCTTTGCTCACAGTCAAAGCAAATTTGGTTATATTAATATCCAGCAGCTCCCTTTCAGGCTATATTGAATTATAGCAGCACTGTAGCCATTTAGAGACAGGAGAAATGAAAAGACCAGACCCGCTCTCATTCCCTAGGGCTTGTTCTGGCAGAGGGACTCATTCCTATATCTGATTGTCAGAGTAAGAGCCAACACTGTGTCCTTCACTTCAATAGCATTCTCCCAGCTGGGTATTCAGCATGGAAAGCAGATGAGACGCTATGCAATGTCAGTTAACAAAACACCAGTTAATTTCGAGGGTTAGGAAAGGAGCATTCAGAAACTGACCGTGTCCTCCTGAACCTGGAACTTCTGCTCTTCCCTGTGTGCACTTTTTTTTCTAATGAACAGAAATGATTAAATGTAAAGATTTCAAAGCTGTCTAAGAATAGAACCCTGGTATGTTGCCCCTAGCCCTGTGCGTTGATTGCATATGCCCACAGGGCCGTGTATCTAGGCAGACTGTTATATACATGCTAATGAAAAAGGCATTGAAGAGAAGGGGGGACACATCCTTTCCTGGCAGCAGACCCACTCTCTCCCATTGCACAGGGCATGGGCTGGTACAGGAGAAACTCCTTATAGACACAACAGGGGCAGCAGGGAAAATCCACTAATTCCCTTCACTGCCTTGGTCACCAAGAGGATTAGCCAGGAGTTTATCAGTCCCGAGCAGGTGGCCTAGCAACAGCCAGGAGCTTGTAAACAGCAGAGAGGAAGCAGCAGATCTGGTCACCGCCTTCCCCAGCCCATTCAGCACCTTGCAAAGTGCAAGACTCTTCCATTGAGCATTTCGCTCCGTGCCCCACGCTTCCCAACTCCTGCAGCTCTGGCGCCCTGAAGGCAGGTAAGGGATGGGATGGTGCTGGCACCTGTCCCCTTCTGTACACACCATTCTATACAGGAGCCTCGTTGTCTGGATTAAAGGGAGTTGCAGCCCCTGCAGGGAATAGTTCATGTTTGACTGTAATTAAAGGATCATAGAAATGTGGGGCTGGAAGGGACCTCGAGAGGTCCTCCGGTCCAGTCCCCTGCACTCTCTGAGGCAGGACCAAGTAAACCCCGACCATCCCTGGCAGGGGTTTGTCCAACCTGTTCTTAAAAGCCTCCAGTGACGGGGATTCCACAGCCTCCCTTGAAAGCCTGTCCCAGAGCTGAACTGTCCTTAGAATTAGACATTAGGAAAAGTTTCTAATGATAGCTCCCTTGCGGCAGATTAAGCCCGTCGCTTCTTGTCCTACCTTCTGTGGCCAAGGAGAATAATTGACCACCGTCCTCTTTGTAACAGCCCTTAAGATATGGGAAGATTGTTCTCAGTCTTTTCTCAAGACTAAACGTGCCCCTTTTTTTTAACCTTTCCTCACACATCAGGTTTTCTAAGCCTTTGATCATTTTTGTTGCTCTCCTCTGGCCTCTCTCCAATTTGTCCGTGTATTTCCTAAAGCGCAGCACCCAGAACTGGTCACAGGACTCCAGCTGAGGCCCCAGAAGTGCCGAGCAGAGTGGGACAATGCCCTCCCTTGTCTTACATGCTGCACTGCAGTTAACACACCCCAGGACACTATTAGCCTTTTTGGAAGCTGCATGCAGCACATAGTTGAGAGGGAACAATCAAGGGAATGAGAACTGATCCGGCGAGCGGCTGGCGGCAGTGTGTGGCCACAGGGTGTATGTGATAACAATGCAGGGGCCTGGCCTTGACTCTTCTTCCTGGTTTCTCCTATTTAGGGACTCAATGAGGAAACCTAGCTCCCCATCACTGCCCCATTGGTGGCTGCTTCGCTCGCGAGCCTGGTGCAGGTGGCTCCTGTCTCTAGTAAGGACGACCCTGTCTGGGCTGCTGGTGCTCTGGAGGCTGATGTGGGTTAGTGTCATCCGAGGCAGTGAAGGGAGCAGCTGGGCCACACCCTGACAATAGTGGGAGCTTCCTGCCCTTCCTAGAAATGCAGGTTTCACAGACACAATTGAGTGTTGACTTCCAGGTGTGAGCGCTTGCTCCCTGGGCGGGTAAGGCTGGGAGCACCTCAGGGTGGCTGGGAGCACCCCAGGCCAGGCAGGCTGCTGGAATGGTTATTATTTATGGCTGGTATCACACTGACACTAATTTAACCATAAATTCCTTTATTAAATCCAAAGCGGAATAAGAAAAGGAGTACTTGTGGCACCTTAGAGACTAACCAATTTATTTGAGCATAAGCTTTCGTGAGCTACAGCTCACTTCATCGGATGCATCGAAAGCACGAAAGCTCATGCTCAAATAAATTGGTTAGTCTCTAAGGTGCCACAAGTCCTCCTTTTCTTTTTGCCAATACAGACTAACACGGCAGCTACTCTGAAAGCGGAATAGTATTTACACAATTATGCTAAACATGCCTAAAGAACAAGCAATTGACTACGTCTTCACAGCCCACGGACTAACCCCAGGGGTGCTGAGACCCTTATGGGATGGCTCCGGTGTGGTCGGCAGATATCAGCAATGAACCCTTTCACAGGTTACTTTTTTCATCCCCTTTGACAATCATGTGTTGTCATTACTAGCCATGGCCAAATGAAGGAGTTTCTTAAATATAAATTATTTACTGCATCTGGTATCCTATTAACCATGTCTGATTTCTGTTACTTTGCCCAAACCTTAAGGAAGGTAACTGGTATTTCGAAGGGTCACCACAAGTTTGACACGAGTCGTCTTTCTCATGCTCTCACGCTTTTTGGTTCCATGCCTATTGTTCATGCTAATGTCCCAACTCAATGTAAAACCGTACTTCACTCAGATCTAATGGGGGCCTGTCTTCCTACCCGGGGCGGGGAGTGTGCCTTCTGCAACGACTCCCTTCCCCCCACGCCATCCCCAGAAGTGAGGTAGGGGCAGGGTGAACAGACTCCGGCTGTGGAGGGTCATGGCTCCCTTTGGAAGGGCAGGGTTGAGGGGCACTGCTCAGAAGCTGGGGGAGGAAGCACAGGGAGAGCTGGGGGTTCCTGGGGCAGGGAGTGGGTGCTCTCAGCTCTGAGGCCTGGATCACTCTGCGTGTCCCACCCTCGCTAAGTGCAGCTCATGCTGGATTTGTGCTGGGAAAAGTGACAGGGCAGCACTGTGGTCATGGCAGGGCTTGGCTGGGCCTCATTCTCTTCGTGGTGGTGCAGCTGGGAAATCCTGCCTCTATGCCTTCTGCTTTTCCCAATAGAGTTTATGCCCCGGTCCAATAACAGCCCAGCTTCATTGGTCCCCACAGGCTCTGACCGCCGTGTGCCCAGCCTGGCGTAACTCCGGCGGACACAGTCCAGCCCAGACACCACAGCCGGAGGCGCTCCGGGAAAGGCTCCAAGAGACAGAGAGGTGCAGGGCCGCCTGCCCTCTGTCCTGGCCGGGCGCTTCCCGTCTCATGCTGACGCTATTCTCACCCATCTCTCCTCTTCCTCTCTAGCACGTGTTGTTCTGCTACAAGGTTTTCTGGGAGCTCGTGTTCCATTTCGTGCGTGAGGTAAATGGCACTTGCAAATGCTGGCTCTGTCCCTTGCCTTCACAGCCGTGCTCGCATGGTGTTCCTTGTTCCGAACCATGACCATGCACACGGGTCTCCATCGGAGCTTTGCCGAACGTTTCCACCCTCCCATGCACTCGGAGCCAAGATGCATGGAGCCAGCGCATCCCGAGTAGAGGAAATGTGCTTATAAAACTGGGGCAGGCTGGCTTCCACCACCCGGAAAGGGGTCTCGGAGTGTGGGGGCGTTAATTAGCTCTCAGACCCATTCATATCCATTATACCAGATCCCTGCACTTACTGGGGAGGGGTACAGACACCTGCCACCTGCCGAGGACCCTCCGTGACGCCCAGAACGTTTCACTTGCATCCAGTATATCGCACACCCAGAGTCACTCCTGCACCCAGTGTGAGTCTGTGCCTTGCGCTGGTGGGTCAGCCCTGCTCTGACCCAGGTGCACTTCACTCCCCTGTCTCTGCGCCCCAGGGAAGGGCTACAGGCGTGTGTGTCTCAGTGGGTCTGAACCTTCCTGGAAGGGTCTGATGCCCAAGCAGCGAGCAGGCAGCCTCTGGGCCCTCCTCCCCCACTACCTGATGCAGCGACGACCTGGGCTGTGTTTGCCTGGGGGCCCCAGGCCGAAGGGAGTGAGCTGGGCTGGGCCGAGCCAGTCTTGGCCATCTCGGTGTCTGGGGCTGCGCGTGCTGCCCCACTGACTATGTCTGGGGCCGACTGGCTTGCAGGTCAGCGCAGCGCTGGGATCGTGGCTGGAGAGCTGTAGCGAAGATTGCGATGGGGGTGGCGCTTGCATACCTGTTCCTGGCCGGCAGCAGCCCGGGGCAGGTCAGTACTCTGGGAAGCCACAAAGCCCTGCCCCGGTTCGGCAGTGTCCTGCAGCGCCCGGGTCGTGCTGCGGGCTCCCTGGGCTTTCCCCACCGGGCAGCGAAGGCTGGGTGTGCTGGGCTGCAGGGCAGGTGCCGGGCTGCAATGAGACAGGCCCTGGGGGCTTTCTGGTTCTCTAGTCACTTCGCTCTCAGCAGATGCAGGCCCTGGGGCCCAGGCTCTCCCTGTACATGTCCAGAGGACGTGCTCAGCCTTACAGCTGCAGCAATCAGCTGGGTCAGGCCATGCAGCCGGGAGAAGCGTGAGCGTTCGGCAGCATAAGGCCGCGTCCCCACGGGGAGCATCACGCGTGGCTGTGGGCAATTGCACAAGCAGGGCTGTCTTGCTGTCTCCTAGGCTGTGGGGAGCTGCAGAGGCTGCAGGACGCCAGCACTGCCGTCCTGGAAAGGCTTATGGGGCTGGAGGCTGAGGTCAAGTATGTCAGCACTGAGCTGCGTGCAGAGAAATTACTGTGGAGCAGCAGGTACCTGGAGCTGCTGAGGGAGCAGCAGGAGCTCCGTGAACAGGTAGGCCCCAGGCAAAAGCCACAGCCACACGGCTGCCTCCCCAGCGTGCCAGGGGGCGGAGGCCTTTCCTCACCTGCTCTCCCCTTCCCAGTTCCAGGAGTGGGGACGGAGCCAGGGGCCCGAGGCCAAGGACACCCTGGAGATGCAGAGCAAAGCCGAGGCTCCCAGTGCGGATGGATCTGATGGGTGGTGCATGGGAGACAGCGGCTGGGGCCTCCAGACGCCGTCAGGTGAGGAAATCTCCGGGAGACTGGGGTGGCAGGAGGCGCAGAGAACGGTGTGCCCCCATGAGTGTGCCACGGGGGTGGGGGCCGGGGGAAGGACCCCCGCCCCCAGCCTCACCCAGGGTGCAGCATCACCTGGGCGATGAGCGCTACCTGGCTCTCTGGTGCAGGTTGGTCCAGGGCGACAGCCAGGGCAGGGGGGACTGCGGGGCCAGCGGCTGTCCCAGCCCATGCAGAGGGGGAGGTGGCCAGCGTGCTGTGGTGCCCAGTGCTGCATCGGCGTGGCCTGCTGGCACGTGGCTGGGGGGAGGGGTCGGGCAGGTGGCATTTGTTGCTGGATGCCCCATGGGCCGAGCCTGGCTGCCGTCTCCCGTACCCAGTCACCCTCCCATCTGCTGCCTCGCAGGGGAGCGGCCGCAGCCTGTCCGGCCAGACACGAGCCCCTGCTGCACGCTTCAGCGCTGTCCTGCTGCCAGCTGCCCAGGCCGGGCGTCCGCATCTTCGGCTTTCGCATGCTTCATCCCCAGGCCCAGCTCAGCACCCGTGGACGTGGGCAGGTGCATCCCCGGCTCCGGCTCCGGCCCTGCACTCTGAGTGCAAGCTGCTGTGGATGGGGCCGAGGGGGAAGCGGCGAGGCTCCTGCTGCCAGCCTCGCTCCCCTGGCCTCACCCGCTGAGCTGGGCCCAGCTCCCCCAGCATGGTCAGGAGGTGGAGCCCGGACTTTGCAGGGCCCAGCCCCCAGGATTGTTCCCTGTAGTCTGCTCCCCACAGCAGTGGCCAGTTCACATCCGAAGGGGAGAAGCAATGAACCCCCCCCCCCCCCCCCCCAGTTCTCGCTGCCTCACAAGCCCCCAGTCCCTGTTCCATGGGATGGTGCTCGCGCCTACCCCCTCACATGGTCACCAGGCACGCCGTGCCCCAGAGCACACCAGTGCCGTGGGCAAGGGCAGTGTATTGTCCCTCCTACAGAGCCCGGGCAAAACACGTATGGCGAGTGCTGGAGGGGGTGGGGGGTCCAGGCCATGGGCCCTGGTGCTGGTGTGGGAAGTGGGGGACAGGCCCTCGGCCCCAGTGGGGCTGCAGGTTCGTGCCCCGGCTGGGAGGAGGAGACAGGCCCTGGGGGGTGGGGGGAGAAAGGAGAGGCCCTGGCCCCAGTGTCAGTGGGTGTGGCAGGCCCTGGTGTGCGTGTGGGGGGGGGCGGAGGAGGGACAGGGTCTCAGGCCCAACGCCGGGCTGTGGAAGGGGAGAGGATGCGGCTGCAATGAGCTGAGGCAGGTGCTGACGGGGAACCGTGAGCTTCGGGCAGCTGCCAGCAGGTGGCAGGCGCAGCACGTTGGCGCCCCAGCCCGGCTCCCAGCCCTGCTGGGGCTGCTCCAGGCTCACAGGCCACTAGCCCCCTGGGCTAGTCCATGGCGTGGCCCCCACCTCAAGGGCTACAGCTCCTACAGCCTCCAGGGAAGGGCCCTGCCAGAGCCGGGCTGGGTGTGATGGGCAATTGGCTTCCCCCCACTTCAGTGACTGTGCTCCTGGGCCCAGCGGGGACTCGCTCCAGGGGGCTGCCCCACCAACTGTGTCCCCTTTGCTGTCTCTTGCAGCACCCAGCTTCGCAGGGCCCAGCAGCACCCTGGTACCCGGGCGTCCGTGCCACGTTCACCATGGGACCTGCGCCTCGGGCACAGAGACAAGGTCCTGCTGCAGTCAGGCGGGGTCGGTGCGGGCACCGTCCGGTACCTGGGGGTCTTCCCCGACCAGGCCGAGGTCTCCGTGGGAGTGGAGTTAGAGGACCCGGGTCATGGGGCACACGACAATGTCCTGGTGGGGCACTGCTGCTTCCCCTGGTGGGTCCTTCCTCTCCTCAGCGGGGCACGGGCATTGGGCACTCGTGGGGCTGGTCCCAGGGTTGGGGCCCCTCCCTTGCACACTGGGATGCCTGTTGGCACCACACAGCGAAGACGCTCGTAGTTTAGGCTCAGCCAAAGGGAGGGGAGCCACAGATGGAGGGAGGCGGGGTTATTTGGAGGGACGCCCATGGGAACAACAGGAGCGGCGTGCAGCCCCGTGCACCAAGGTTGCGGAGTGGGTGCTGGTATGAGCAGCAGCCAGTGGGGGGCGCTGGAGAGCAGTGCTGAGGCACTGGGCCTGGTCCCTTTGCAATCGCCCCAGCCAGGGACTGGGCACAGGCAGAAGTCTCTGCAGCCCTAAGTGGCCTGGAATCGCCCAGCCCTGCAGAGGATGAGCCAGCCCTGCGGGGGCCATGCTCTGAGCTGTACGAACGGCAGCCGTGCTCTCGGCAGCCCTGGCAGCAGCTTCACGCGCTGTGTCTCTGTGGTTTTATTGCTGCAGCAAAGCCGGCCATGGAGCGTTCGTGCCCTTCCGCAAAACGCTGATGGTCGGGGAATAGGCCCCCACCCTCGGCATGGCGTTGAGCGGGAAACATTCGCGGGGCGACAGGAAATGGCCTTTGCCCAGGGCTGGGCCCATGGGGCACAAGAGGGGCCAGGAGGAAGAGCCCAGCATGACTGAGCTGCAGCAAGACCCGGAGCAAAGGGCCTGAGCCGTGTGGAAAGCCAGACGCACGGCAGGACCCGTTCCACCAGCAGCAGGTCGTCTTGGGACCCTGGGGACTGTCACTTCCGAGAGGGCAACACCAGGCTGGGGCAGGTTCGGCTTGTGAGCGCCCGACCAAGCACCATCGGCAGGGCAGGCGCCTGGGCAGGGGCCATTGCACTGCGCAGAGCCCACTGCCCTCCCGCTAGGCAAGGCTAGAGCTGAGGGGAAGGATCAGGCTCCCTGCTAGCCAGATTACCTCTCAGAGGACCGTCTCTGGGCTCTCTGCCTGTGTTCAGCTACTTCTGGAGTAGCTTCGTCTGGGTCAGGGGACTGCTCCCTCTGCCTCGCGTCTCAGCATAAGGGCTCCCTGCACACACACCCCCTGCCCCTCACATGGGGCACTAACAATGTGTGGCCAAGGGTCGGGCACTGGCGACTTGGGCCCCCACACTCGTGGTCCTCAGGTTGTGTGCCGCGTTCTCTGAAAGGCCGACAGACCCACTCCCCCGCGGGCTGGCAGAGCCTGCCGATGGTGCCACCCACCACTGGCTCGTGGCTGGGCTGTGGGGCTACATACTGGCCCCAGGGGCCACATGTAACTGCATGTGCGGCATCTGTTGGGTGGGGAGCCAGGAAACCACCTCCCCACCAAATTCACTTGGAAACAGAGGCCTCCCACTCCCAACTCCCCAGGCTTGACCAAGCCCTGGTGTCTTTGCAGTGAGGCTCCCATGAGCAGCTGCACCAGCCCAGTCTATCTATGCCGCCCCCCCGGGTCCACTCTCACTGCATGACCCTAGTCACTCCTTTGGTCTGTCGGTGTTTGCCTGGCCCTGGGGGGGGATGATGCCCCTGCAGGGGGGCTCTACCTTGCGCCAGGCCCTGGCCTCAGGCGTCACCTGCCTGACTTTGGTGCCCCAGGTTTTGGTGAGAAGAAAGGACAAGCTGTGGCCTGCTGGCAGCTGGCTCCAGCAGGCTAGGCTGATTCACGGGAAGGCGTGAAGTGTCTTGCCCACCAGCCAGCTGCCGGGAACCCAAACCAGCCACAAACATGGGGAGCTGGGAGCAGCCAGCCTAGGGAGAACTGAAATCACAGGAGGGAGGGGAACCAGAGACATGCCAGGCTGAGCCAAGGGCAGTCCCGCTCCAGGGATGTCACGTCAGCACTGGCCCCAGCTCCTGCCAGCTGGGTACACAACTGTATCAGCAAACGGGGCTGGAGTGACTGCCAGGAAACAAAGCAAACAGGCCCGGGCTTACCTGCCCTGCCAGGAGCTGGGGCAGGCCTGGCCTCTCGCCCAGAGAGCCAAGGGAGGGGACCAGCCCCGGCCAGCACTGGGAGTGGGCTCATGCAGGCCCCTTGGCCAGGCCCAGCCCTGCTGCGAGCGGAGAGAGCTCCCGCCCCCAGCCCTGGCCCTGCAGCGCTCCCAGCAGGTCTGTTTTGTAACTGGGTGGTTTGTCCTCAGCCCAGGCTCCTTCCTGCTACCCAGCCCTTTCCCGGTAGTGATCAGGGCTCAGCGAGAAGTCATAAACCGGGGCCTAGCCCACGGCAGGGGTGGCCCTGGCATGCTGGCTGCACCAGGAGTTACAGAACACCCGTCATGCTGCTAGCGCACCAGGCTGCACCGGGCATCCTGCTGCTGCAAGCTCTGTGCCCCTGGGCAACGGCACCAGGCCCACCTCACGGTTGCTGCCACCATGCTGCTGACGCGGCGGGGAGAGAGCAGCACCTCCCCGCTGCAGGGCACCTCCGCGTTCTGTCCTGCCCGCCCAGCGCAGGGCTTCCAGCTCGCTCAGGCGGGTCGGGGAGCCCCGCGGCCAGACACCCGCTCTGCTGCTCCGGGGCCTCTGGACAGGGGCACAGAAGACACTGCTTGGGATGGAGAGGCAGTTGGGGTGAGCGCCCCCCTCCTGCTTATGGGCTCCCATATGGGAAGCCATGCAGATACTGGAGAAACATCCAGCTTCTGTCCACAACCTCAACAGCCCCTCCAAACCCTCGTCCTGCTCGCCCGTCCTGGCCACACCCTGACACTGGTAACGACCGAACAGGGAGGAAACCTTCTAGGCGACGAACTGTGCCCCAGCCCCATCTTCACGTGCCCTTCATCCCTGCCCCTACTCCCCCGTCTGCCCCTGGCCCTGGCCACTGCATGCTCGCCAAAGGTAGCCCCACCCCAGACCAGCAGCCGTTTCCGGGGCTAACGCTTGACCAGTGACCTAGAAAAGAGGAATAAAAGACAATGCAGCAGTAGCATGGAAAGGCTGCATTTGCTCCAGGACACTGTGCCGTTGTAAAGGTCACAGCCAAACAGCTGTTCCTGCTCTGTGCTCGGTCGGCTGCCAGCCAGCCTGCCAGACACCCACTCGGGCAGTGAGCTGGACACACTCGCTGCACACAAAGATGCTGGCACAAACTGGGGGCAAGCCGCCAAAGGAGGCAGTGAGATGGACAGCCAGGGTCCCTGCCCAGGCACTTGGAGGCTGCATCCTGGCTGCTGCTGAGCCCAAGGGGACCGGTGGTCACACCTGGACTGCATGCCTGGGCCTAGCTGCACTAAGAGACATGGTACCCAGGTTTCAAGCAGGCTACAGCTGCCCCGTGGTAGCCATGGGGTAAATGCTAGTGCAGAGCCCTAAACACGCCCAGACCTGGCTAGTCGTCTGCTTCCACCACTGGACCCAGCCAGGGTGAATGACAGCAACTAAGGTCACTAGGGCCCATTCAGCATTGGCCTGGGTTCGATGTCTCAGTGTTTGGAGATGGGTTTCTTGGCCAGACTAACCCCAGGGCCAGCACGGAGAGGACACTGACTCTGCCCTTTGGTTTGCTTTGCTTAGACACGATTCCCTCCTGGTCAGCTGTTATTCCCATTGAACGTCCTAGCTGCTTAGGAGGCCTTTCTGGCCAGCAGACAGAGTGACTCTCTCACACGCTCTATCATCCCTGCCTGGCCCAGCCCTGCTCTCAGCTACAGCAGTGGCAAGCTGGAGGAGCACCACCGCCTCCGCATGAAGCGACCCCCATGGTTGGGTCTCTGACTGTAATGTAAGAAGGCCTGACAAACCCTTTAACGCAGAGTTACACCCCTGTGTGTTTCACCAGCCCCTCAGCTTGGCCCAGCCATTGTAGTTATGGGCTGGCACTGGCAGGAATTAATCTAGGCTACAGGCAAGTCTCTGTCTAGCTCTCAGTTCTGGTTTGCTGCAGGTTCTCTCAGTCACCATTCTGCAAAGCTCAGGCCCCCCTCCTCCAGCCCAGCCAGCAGAACTGCAGCTGTTTCCAAAAAGAGGAAATAAAGCCTTGCAGGTCTGGGCTGTGAAGGAAAGTGCTGGGCACCTAGCCCTAATGCGAGCTCTGCTAGTTAAGAGCCACAGGGTGGCTGCCCTGCTTGCACCTCCGCCAGGGCAAGCGTGGTGAAAGCTTCTCTCTGGGTGCTTTCCTCTCCAGCAGCTGCTGTGGCCAAGACCAGGCAATGATGACAGAAGCCAGATTTTCTTCTCCTGCTCTGTCGCTCAGCAGCCAGTGGATGCCCACAAACATTCAGCGAAAGCAGTGAGCACAAGGCTCTGTGGGGGCAGGGGCTGACCAGCCAGTCTGTGGGCTTCCCAGATAGGCTGTGTAATAGCTGAGAAGCTGGTGGCTTGCAAGTGGCCCTGATGCTGGAGTCTGGGTGATTGGGTGGGTCTGGCCCATCTTTCAGCTCATTCCCACCACCTGAGATGGACAAACCTCTTTGACAATGCAGGTCAGAAAGCCCAGCCCAGCCCACCGGCTGAAGACACTTGCTCTGCAGCTCCTGCCAGCTCCACCCTTGGTCCTGGCTGCTGTCTCCGCTCACTTATCTGGGCAGGTCATGCGGAGGTAGACTCTGAATCAGCGTGGGAGGCAAACTGGGAGCCAGCAGCTGGAGGGGATGAGCTCCATACGAAGTGGTGTCTTCCTGCTGCTTTCAGGCACAGGGTTTTACGTTAACGCATTCTAGGGGTGGGAAATGTGTGTGCCACCGAGGCTACGTCCTCACCGGAGAATGAGGGGGCACTGGGCTACCTGGGCAGGCAGGGTCAGCGATCAGTCTATTCTCATGGCCAAAGTGGGATTTAAGAGGTGCCAAGGGCTTGTGCTAGGCTCTGGGACGCCCTGCTGCACCTGGACGTGAGCAGCGTCACGGCCAGCAAGTTCTGGTAAGTCAGACCTGAGGTTAGTGCTGCTCAGGCCCAGGCTGAGATCAGTCATTAGTTCTAGTGTAACCCTTCTGCCTGTCGGAGTTGGCAGCAACAAGCACCAGGGTCAGGATCTAGGGGTTCCATTCCAATAACACAATGCAAGACCGGCTCGAGCCCCCACCCAGCGACCTGGGACAAATATATACCACCCCCGCTGGGCGCCTCCAAGAGGCAATTCTTCCCCTCTCACAAGCACAGAGTCTGAGTGTAGCGAAAAACATTTTAATAACAGATTTCAGAGTAACAGCCGTATTAGTCTGTATTCGCAAAAAGAAAAGGATGAAGTGAGCTGTAGCTCACAAAAGCTTATGCTCAAATAAATGGGTTAGTCTCTAAGGTGCCACAAGTCCTCCTTTTCTTTTTAATAACAGAGAGAAACAATGTGGCATTATGTTGGGGGAAACACCACCAACAGGATTCCTAATGGAACCCATGAGCAAAAAACCCACCCCAAGCAAACTGGGGCATGTCCTTTCCCTTTGGTTCTTGAGTCCAGCAACCCAAAATCACCCGAAGTCCCAAAAGTCCAACAACCCAAAAGTCTCTGTCCCTGGTCAGGGCAGCCCCAGAGTTCAAAAGTTTATCTACAGAGTTTTTCCTCCCAAACTGGGTGGAGATGGGGGGGGTGGGGCTTAAGGGGCACCTTACATGGTCCAAAGCTGATGGCCCCACCTCTCCATTGGGCTCCGCTCTGCCAGCCACCCCATAAGCTGCTCTGTGTATCCGACAAACTGCTCTGCTCCACCAGCCGCTCTGCTCACCATCCCACAAACTGCTCTACTCCACCAGCCGCTTGGCTCACCATCCTGCAAACTGCTCCACCATATATCTTCAGGCTCCCCCACTACTTAACACAACACTCAATGATTTCAGCTCTTAGGAGAGAGGAGGAAGAGCAATTAGCATGTAAAGCCCTCACCAGGAGACCCATGCCACCAAATATTAACACCTACCCCCCAACCTCTCTCAATTCACAGAGTTTTGGAACCCATGTCCCTTGCCTAGCAAGTGCTACTTAGTTGATGGCGAGTCCCTCCATCATAACAAAAGGCCAAGTACAGTTCCACTGTCCTTGATTCCCATAATCAGGGTAATAATTTATTCTTCCTGCCCCAATAACAGAGACACTGGGGATCCCACAGCAGCCAAAGTGACCATTTGGGCAGCTATGGCCTCATGCTAGGTGGGGTGGGTGTGTCTATGCAAATGAGATCAGTCCCTAAAGTTCTTTTCCACAACTTGCCACACCTCACCACCAGATGTCAGGGTGGAGCTCATCCTGAATCTGCTTACACTAGCATAGCTCCTAGAAGCCCTTGTAGACCAGACCCCCCTGTGCTAGGTGCTGTACAAACACATGGCCTGTGTCCTAAGGTGCTTACAAGCTACGTTCTTAGCGCCTTGGCTTTTTGTGCATGTCTCAGAACAATGCAGAGTGGGTCTAGGCTGGCTTCTCCCATGGGCCCTGTTTTGTCCTAGAGGTGCCCTCCCAGCACCAGTGTCTGCTGCAGGCCTGGCTCTTCTAAACTAACAACAGCATTTACAGCTGCTTCATCGGCAGGTCTCAGGTGGATGACGGTTATTAGCTCCATTTTACAGCCACAGAGAGGGACTTGCGTTGAGCTGCACAGCTCATCATGAGACAAAGCTTGGACTATAACCCAGTCCCCTGCTCTGACCAGTGGCCAGCAGGGCCTCACACAGTATGCATGTGGACACCTGCTCATCATGGTTTCCCTTGGAGCCAGCTGCAGGGCAGGTCACAACAGAGGAGTTCTCCTCTCATGCGTGGTGACTCCAACTCGGAGTCAGAGGAACTTAGAAAGCAAAAGAGAGGAACTGTGATCTTATCTTCACCAGGGGTTAGTGATCTGGGAGTGGCGTCCTGCAATGGGGGGTGGAGGTAGGTTATTAGAGTGCAAAGCCAGGGGAAGTCCAGAGTGAATCTGCTCGAACCTAGGCAAAGTTGTAAACCAGAGCGGGCTGGTTAAAATCCTTCCTCTTGTCGCTGATCCACGGGATGCTCAAAGGCAAGTGCTTGGAGCAAAGCTCACAGGCTGCAAGTCTCAGGGCACAGGGCTCCTGCTGGGCCTCCCACTGACAGGAAGGGACCAGAAGATAGGGCAGAAGTCACTGGGTTTATTTGCAGAGTCCCAGTGCGCAGCCCTGAGTCACACTAGTGAGTGTCTGCACCTCCACTGACTGGCTGCGTGAGTCAGAGCTCAGCGCCCAGCTCTGGATGCACTGTGTTACTGTTTCCGTACGAGCTCAGGGACTGAGTCAGAGGCTGGCAGCCTGTGGTTATCCAGCGAGAAGATGGCACACAACCTGCAGCCAGTGCCACTAGCCGTTGGCCCCAGGAGAAATGTGCCAGACAGGCACCGCTGACTGTGCGAATGGTGACTGGGAGCGTTATTCTCTGAAGTGGTCGCTGCTTTGCTTTTAAACACCGGGGCTTTGTAGCTGGCCTGGCCTGGGAGGTGAATGTGCTGCTGTCACCTGCCTGGATTTTGAACCAAACCTTTTTTTACATTTGGAGCCCCCCGGGTTTTTGTTCTTTAAGATCTTTCATTTTTCCCTTTTGAGCAGGTGACGGGAGACATGGCTTAAGAAGAACAAAGTGGGGTGGCAGGGTTCCTGGGCAGCTGAATTAAAGGAGCAAGTAGCCCCTTTCCAACAAAGACTTATGCATGTGCTTTACTTGATGCACTGAGCAACTACCCTGTTGAAATCAATGGGACTTCTGCAGCGTGCAGAGGTAAGCACGTAGCTAAGCATTTGCAGGGTCAGGGCCCATATTCCACCCGTAGCCGCAATGTTGCTGTCGAAAGCGTCTGCTTGTGGAAAGGCACCATCTCCAAGTGATACATCAGGCTCTGATCGGTCCGGTGGTCACTGAATGCATTTCCAGGGGGAGTGGCGCTGCCCTAGGGTGTGCGCATGGGCAGCGCTCTCTTTCCTCTGTCAGGAATCACATCGAGTTGTTTGGTTTTTTAGTTGCAGTTTCTTAAGCATTGTAAGATCCCTGTCCTTGCAAGCCGCCTGCTGAACGAGGCCAGTCACTGCCCACCTCTCTGGCTGGCTGGCATTTCTAATGTGTGTGTGGCCCAACGTGGCTTTAGAAGGGACAGGGAGGCTACCCGGTGAGAGTCCGTACACGCTGGGTGTGCGGTCGCACAGGGCTGGCAGAGGGACACGCAGACCCCTAGGCACATGGCACGCACAGCTCAGAAGGGCCTGCTGCAGTCTTTCACTCCCAAACAGCTCATTAGAGCCTGCTCTGGAGAGTCGGAGTGGGCTGCCGGCTCTCAGTGAGGACAAAAGCCCTGGAGCCGGGGTCGTGAGGATTTCCGCTCTGGGGGCTGCCGCCGCTTGCTAACAGCCCGCATCCACCTGGAGCGTAGGGACTAGAGTCCAGGCCCGAAAGATCCCGAAAGACAGGTCTCTCCCGCCAGAGCTCAAAGCCGAGCTGTCTAGGAGCTGTGTTTGGGCTGCACTTGGCACCCACTTGCATGGTGCAAATGACGTCCCTGGGTACAACGCAAAGTCGGATCCGCCCCTGGGGCACCACCCCTGCTCCCACTGTGATCCAAGGCCACCCACCTCCCTGACAGCAGGACTGGGCCCAGAACTGCCGAACAAACCAGTGGGCACAGGCTCCAACCCAGAACTTGCCACAGCTAAAACCGTTAATAACTTTGAAGGAAACGGGTTGTCATTAAACAAATGCAGCCGGCCTGTGAGCTTCCGAGGAGACTGAGCGACGGGGCCAGGTTGAAGGGGCAGGAAGAAGGGGCTTTGAGCTACAGGAAGACAATGGACCGTTGGACACACATCATCCTTTCAAACAAGGGCACACTTCTGGATCTCTACCACAAGAGCCGGCCGATGGGCTAGCTCAGGTGCTGTGCGCACTTGCTCTCCTGCAGCACCTGCCCAGTGCCAGGCCAGTGCAGGTTTCCCAACCACGGGTACAGAAGGGGCTCTCTGGGTCAGTGTCTGGACCCAGCACCACATTCGAACCTCAGTCCCCGCCCCGACCCCCCATCCCAGCCAGTCCCCCCACAGGTCCTGCACCATAGCTCAGTCCCACACTTCCACCTCCTGTGCGCTCAGGCCCATCTCCTCTGGGCCTAAGATTTAGTCAGGACATGGCTGCATGAGGCAGCTTCCTTAATGTTGAGCAATTTCTTGGAAGCCTCCAGGAATTCTCCTGTGAGGGATAGGGCCAGAACAGTCACTCAGTGGTTCCACTGTTGTCTGCCTGGATGAGTCTCTTTCACAAGCCGGAGAAGCTGTAGCAATGGAAGGGTTGCAAAATGCAGGCGCTGCCCTAGTTACTGCCTGGCTTGGACAGATAAATCTCCTTTGTTAGCTTCTCTGTAACTCTCCGCTGGCCTCTTGGAGACACACTGTTTGCACGTGGAGGAACAAGCCCCCTGGGGCTGCTGCCCTTGAAGTGCACATCTATTTGTAGATTTTTAAGCATCTCATTCTTACCCCAAATGAAAGCAAAGCTCAGTCTGCAAAGAAAAGTGGCAAAAGTCAGCCCTCTGCACTGGAAGACTGGACTGAGCCCTGTTCCAGGAGTGTCCATGTGCCGTACGCTGCACCAACGTGACCTGGCTAATCCCCAGTGACTTCATTCCTCCTTAATCACATGGAATGAACTGCATCTGGGACCTGGAAACAAACAAGCCACTAACCCTCTGCAGCAGGAAACACAGTCACCGGATGGCTCATGCTGGGTGTGAAAAGTGGCCCGTACCACAGGCACAGGGGTCTGTCCCTCCCGCACACTGACTGGTATAAAACTAAGGGTCATGGATGTGACTAACCCCTCTCCAAAATGCCCGAGGTGTGGCCTCCCTGCCTGGAGGCTTTTAAGGACCTAGCAGAGGGTAGCAGGAACAGATTCATATCATCCTATTAACCACGACAGGGAGATGACGATGACGATCCTTGCTTTCTCCCACCTATTGTCTTGTTTATTTTCACTGTGAACTCTTCTGGGCAGGCCTGTGTGACGGTGCTCCACATAAGGCTTTATGAAAATATGCTTATGAATATATATAACATAACTGGAATATGTTCTATGCTACATATGCCATGTAACATATCTCTGTAAAGGTTATGATCTACTGAATCTATCAATCCTTTTTGTTTGCATGTATCATTTTTGTATTCGAAGTTATGAATATTGGCCGTGTACTGGCTTGATTTCTAAATAACCTTAGTAGAGCATTTGGTCAGTTCCTGGAGAAAGGACTTCA